AGATTACAGAATTGTTCTCAGTGAGTAACTTGTAATGATATTTAGTATTATCCATCATGTGAGATTACAGAATTGTTCTCAGTGAGTAACTTGTAATGATATTTAGTATTATCCATTATGTGAGATTACAGACTTATTCTCAGTGAGTAACTAGTAATGATATTTAGTGTTAGCCATTATGTGAGATTACAGAATTGTTCTCAGTGAGTAACTTGTAATGATATTTAGTGTTATCCATTATATGAGATTACAGAATTGTTTTCAGTGAGTAACTTAAGCATGTTAAATTAAAACAATTTTGAAGCCTCACCATTTTGTTACAGTCCATGCTACCACATCTGGTTATGCTCTTTCTGATAACTATGCATTTTGATAGAAGATAATCCTATAGTGTAGTTTCCATAGCAAAAAGCTCCATCTTAAGGCTGTCATGTCTAAATCACACCATTCTCTCTCTATCCCCCCCATATGCTTTTCTGTCTAATGCTTATAGTGTAGATGGACAACTCGTTGGTCTTCCATCTTCCATTGCCAGTTTCAAAAGTTAATTTGCACAGAAATCCATAGATACTGCATCTGGCAACTTGGCCAGTATGTCTTTATATGGAATACACAGATTCCTGTTTCATTCTCCATCTGGTTCTGGTATGAGACAGTTGAATAGATATGTTAATTCCTGTTTCATTCTCTATCTATTTGAGGTATGAGACAATTGAGTGGATATGTCACAGAAGCAACTTATCTGCACCTGATCCTTCATGTTTATATTGTATACTGTTGCCTATGGCACATGGATGGCTTTTGTCACTAGCCTTTGTGTAATTGGTTTCTCATCTGTTACAAGAAGCCACAATTTACTTACCACAGCTGAGATATAATGTGAATTGCTGTTTTTTGTGCTGGGTAATCACTTACATAAATTTAATTGAATGAAACCAAATGTTATCGACCTTCTACTTAAGATAGTTGAACATAGCTAAAACTTATTGGCTATAGCATATAGGCTGTAATACAAAATATTTGGAATAGAAGTTAATGTTTAAATGTAAGTAATTTCTTTAGTGTTATTCAAAACACCATTATTAAAAGAGTTTGAAAGGAAAGTTTTTGTTTTACTTTGTTGTACATTTTGTCTCAGGAGGTAGGGTTAGTTATGCTAATTTGAATGAAGTCAGCACTGACAACAGTTTGGGCTTGTAAATTTTAGTTAGTTTTATGAAAATGTTGATAATTTGTACTCTTGCTTAAAGGTATTCTCTGAATTAAATCTATTTTACAGATGCTATTGACTTGAATAAAGCTTAGATTGGACTGTAATATTAAAATGTAGTTTATTTTCCATTTTAATGTACATGTACAAATGGTTATGTAGTTGTTTCCATCTACATTATTATGTCTTATGTGAATATTAAGAGAAACTTTATGATGTGTATATACTTATAATCTAATAATGGTTGGAGATGGCTTGAATGGGTAATGAAGAAAAACTTTAATATAAGTTTAACGTAACAGCAAATGTACAACGTTTCGACAAGGTATTAAAGTTTTTCTTCATTACCCATTCAAGCCGTCTCCAACCATTATTAGTCTCAAAGTGGGTTCCTCGTTATCGAATTTGAAATACTTATAATCGGAATATACAGCAGTTTTTTTATGTTGAATGAACTTAATTGGGAGCCACAAAAGATTTTTATTCCATCATTTTAATGTTTGTAAAGAAACAATTTGTGTAATTCCCAGTATGTTCATTTTTCTAAATTTTTTCAAATGTTTTTAACCATGGAAGTTGGTAACTAAATGATTTTTTTAGCTTAAAGTAATATATTTGGTTAGTTAGTATTTTGAAAGTTTTTACTTGCTAGCATTTTGTATTCTATTTAGTTAACCCTATTGCCACGGGTATCCTTTACTGCACATGACACAAGGTTTTAGTGTCTTGCATTCATAATTTTATTAAACTAGATTTTGTTTATGTTATACCAATTAGTATAGCATAAAATCTTAGCTAATAATCCATATTTTAATATTATATAAGTTTTAAGTTCTTAATTCTACAAGTCAATATTAAATAAAAAATCCTGAATTTCCTCTAGTGTGACACACATGACACATTTTTTCTATGCATTTTCTTTTCTCTATTTTATCCACCACCTCTCCAAAAAGTATGAAATTAAATGTAAATTATTCACTATAAAATCGTCATTGCACAGACAAACCATAATTTTTACAGCCTTTAATTTTGCTTGGTTACAGAGCTATCAAATAGAAAATCAAATCCCTCCTGCCACATTCTCTCTTTCAGGATTTGTTAATAGTTCTCTCTCATGCTTAATTATATATATATTACCCATAACCGATAGAAAGCCAAGGTTTTCATTTATGAAATGACATATTGTATAACATTGTGTTCTGAACAAATAATCGTCAATTTTATCCAGAGTGCAAGCTCCGTTCCCGTGGGAAAGCTAACAACTAGCTTGGATGAATTTGTAACAGCTCTTGTCACATAGTTAGAAAGCCAAAATCATTTTGAGAGTTAGGGGAAATTGTCTACTTTTGCATCTTATTAGTCTATGTTCTTTGGTGCATTATTAGTTGATTAAATAAAAATTATTTAGGGCATTACTATCATTAGTATTAAAAAAGTAGGGTTAAGTGTCATCAACAATTGACAGGAACAAAAACGAAGATTGAGTATGTACTTTATTTCTTATTTTTCATGTTTATTCTTTATTTATTATTATAAAGGTAACTAAAATGTAAAAATAGAGATCTTTTTAGGTTTGTTAAGATTAGATTAGGTAAATAATAATAATATAATAAAAATATTTAGTGAGGCATGCACCCAAGCAACTCATGCTAACTTGTTGGTAATGTAATTTGATAGCATAACGTGAGTGATTGACAACTTATAATGGCACAGATAGTAGTTAGACACAGTTCAAAGGGCAATCAGCAGGGGAATAAAACAATAAAATTTAATTATATAGATGTTTACTTTTACTAGCTTAAAGCTACTTAGGATACATGAATGTAGTTTCATGTTACAATTTGAAGTCATTCTAGAAAGAAGAAAAGGGTAATTTTGATTTACTTCCATTTTTTTTTTGGTGGTTAAGAGGTCGTTCCAATTGACTGATTCTGTATAGAGATAGGGTAGAGAAAATAACAGATAAAATATAAAGTGTTACCGAAAATAAACTTTTGAAATGTATTTAGAAGGTTTTAGAGATTTCACAAAGGAAATTTGAGATGAGGAAAAGTATTTTTGATTTGAATATGAAAATCACTTTGTACGTGGTCTATTCTAAACAAATACTCAATATAAATCTTTTCTTAGTTTATTTAAAATGCTTTACAAAAAATATGATTTTTGTATGTGAAAGATTTATAATGTTTATTGAAAGACTGCCAAATTTTGTGAAGATATACACATTATATTAAAAATTAGTAGTATCAAATCTATAATAACTTTAAATTAGTACAAAAAGGTCATGTGGTCAGTCAAGTTGATTGAGCCCGTGTTGAGAGAGTTAAAGGTATGCAGTATTGGAAATAATTATAAATTGAGGAGGAAAAATGGTTTAAAAGGCAAAACTACTGGAATGCCACCCTTTCTCATGTGAAAATTACTAGCACTAGGGTACAGTAAAGTTTTGATAAGTTATACTTTGGTTGGCTTTCATTCAATTCTTAGAAAGTGCCAAACCAGTATAAAGTTTGTAAAAGTACAGTCAGTCATGCTATGCTCAATATTTGTAATAGTACTGTGGTATATTCTTTATGAGATAGAAGATGATTAAACACAGATCTTGCCAATAATCTTGCTTTTAATACAGATGTGAATGTTTATTAACTCTAAAATAATAACATACACATTTGCATGAAGTGGTTGTCATAGGCATATTGGTGCTTGAAAATTATTTCTGAGAAGAGGTAACTACTGTAGGTTGAAATGAACATTGGACTAAAAATAGTAGAATCAACAGAGCTGGAGAAACCAGTCCCTCAGATTTGAGGTGCATGATTGCACTTGCTCAGGATAAAACACTTAAATTTTGCATTAGGTGCATTGTTAATTGTTTGCATAAAAAACTTTTTAAACTATCGCGCACAAGTTTACCTGTTTAGCACGTGTGATAAGTGGTATTTTCTTATTGTGACTAATACAGCTGTTTACGACTACGACACAACACTGACGATCCATGACATGGGTGTTGTTGTTGAGCATGCATTAATCCATATTGGGGACTACAGTCTACTTTTGTGAATTGCAGTTCATGTAAAACAATGGTGGTGACTAGTATGAGTGTATGCTTGTCCACTTTTTGAAGTGGGAATTATCGGATACCATTGGCTATGAGACAAAAAAAGAATGTGGAACTGAGTTGGTTGTTAAGGTAAATATTTTTACGAATCAGTACCATATCACTGATACATTGATATTGTACTAGCAGACAACGACATATCATAAATTATGCATGTGTTCAATGTAAGATTTAACCCGTGTAAAAGTACATTGAAATTGGATCAATATTTGTGAATGAATATGAATAACACAAATAATTGTCGAATTGACCACATTTAAATCATGCTTTGGCTTTACTCGTCATTTAATTATTTAGTTCAAGGTCTTCCTTGACAAAGTTTTTGTGTCATTAATAACTTTAATTTCACACCTGACTTTGGTTATTGTTTTTTTGATGCTTAAAATGACAGTGGATAAACTCTGGTTACTTCATGTCAGTCGGTTTTATAGAACAGTTTTGCAGGTTCAGGTGCTATGCTAAAAAAGATGCATAATAATTTCATAGCTTATATTAAATAGGGCAGTTGTGCATCTTTCAGTATTATACACAATTATACCAAGCATCCAGCAAATGTGGTGAAACAATGTGTTTATGGCAAAGAGACCAGTGGATCATTTACAGCCATGGTTTGGCCTGCACACTGATATAAACATTCTTGAGGCTGTATAGGCTTATGTAAAAATTGAGATGGTTAAAATGTGGACAAATAACTTGGTTGAATTGTGGGAGTAATACAAGACACTTGAAACAGTATTCCACAGTTGTACATTGATTAAGTATATGGCAGCATGATAATTAGGAATAATATTCTGCATAAACCAAAAACGTAATATACAAAATACTAGTGTATAGTAAAACCTACTTACCTTTCTTTTGTATTTTCTGTGATGGTATTTTGTATAATTAATGGATTTGCCATTTAGTTTTCATTACTTATAACTTTGGAGACACATAAGTGTAGCATTTATGTCTCCATAGGTATTCCTACATACTCTTCCCTCCAATATAACAAAATACAGTGATGAAGATTTGTGTTCTACATATATACACATTATGAAGTTTCTCCTAATAGTTACATAATACATAATAATATAGATATAAACAATTATATGACCATTTTACATGTATATAAAAGTGCAAAATAAACTAATATATATATATATATATATATATATAAGAAAGTGATATTTTGCTCTAAACATATATACAACTTCTTTGTTGTTGATGAAGTTATGATTATTAAACTTGTTATTGAACATTTTGGTGCTTGGATTCACAGGAAGTTTGGAGATTTTGGATGGAAAAACAATTTTTGGTTAGATATTGATTACCTTTGTGTAGCACAAGCAGCCACATTTTGTTCTGCACATTTCACTGCTCTTCTCTACACAGAGATATGGTGTGACCAAGAGAAAAGGTATCCTAGATTTAGTTTTAGTTTTGAGTTTAGTGTAATGAGGTGGTGAGTGAATATATTAATTGTGTTAAAATAACTTGTCACAAATACCATGGTTTACTTATAATGTGTTCATACTATAATGTTAAAATTTTAAATGACTTCTCATTTTGAGTGTTTTCTTTTTCTTCTAAGCTGACCCTTACACAATATGGTATAAAACTGGTGGGCCATTAAAGACTTTTTAAGTATCTTTAATACTTTTTTTGCTAGATATCATCTTCTTCCCATTTGTAAACTAAATAAATACCCACTGGAATTCTTATGCAGCTGTTTCTTTAGTGTTTATAACATTCTAAAAGAATTTAGAAGATACATTTAAGTGTAAAAATCTGATGTGATTCTTTGTGTTATTACACTTGTTTCTTTTTCTGAAGACTTCATTCTCTTTTACCATACACTTATTTGCAACAATAATCTAAACTTGTGAGTTCTGAGTGATTAGAAGCATGGCAATTACTCTATCCATTCAGTGTTCTCAGTACAATACTGTAAAATACTCAGTACAAATTTGTTTGTATGGAGTGATTATTTGTTGTTGTTTATGATATAAAGTTATTTTAAAATCTACATGTAGATCTTGAAAATTATTTGCCATGTTTGTAATTTGCTGCTATATATCTAGATTATATTATTCAATGTGTAAGAAGAAGATCTATAATTGAATTTTTAAAATCAATTCAGTAGCACAAGAAGCTGTATTTTCTGTATAGTTCAAACTCATAAAATTTGATATTTTAGACAATTTTCAGATTTACTCAAACTAGATAACAAATAAAAGCTATGTGGACATATAGTCAAACATATATAATATTTAAAACATGTAATGCTTTATTGAAGTTCATTGTACATTATTCCACACAGACTAATGTTCATAGAACATAGTTAGATTTACTGTAAGTGGAACTCCTTGAATCTGGTTTAATTAATGTTGTTGTCACGTTTTGTAGCCTAAGAGATAACTTAAGTATAATCATTAATTAGAACTTTTTTATTTTATTAATTTGATACTAGTTTCATATAGTTTTTAAAAGTGTCTAATTAATAATTAAATTTAGGTGTCTATATAGACTATTAACCAGGACAATGACTGGCATCTGATTGCCACAGCCTTACCATAAGTACTTAATTGAGCAGTATGATTTATATCTAGATTAGATATTGTTAAACTGGAATTCAGAATTCACCTTTATTAAGATATATAAATCATTTTAAAACCACATGAATTTTTATGTAAAATTAAATATCAATTTTTTTTTATAACTATTGTAATTTTTTGTTTTAAAGAAAAAGACAACTGGAAAATCGACAACATCATTCTAGTAATTTATCAGACAACTTTGGATCTTGTAGTCAAGACACATCCACCTTAGCCTCAATAAGCTCCTGTGACCAAGAGAGGGCACCGCTAGTTCATAAACTACTGATGGATGCTTACTGTAGCATAGGTGAACCAGATGGTGTTTATGGGTGTGGTGAAGTAGCTAAAGATAGCCAAGATGTAAGGATTCAGTGTTATGAACAAGAGAATCGATGGGATCGAGTTTTAAGCTATTATGACTTGGAGCTGACACAGAATACCTCGTCACGTGTTGGGTTGTTAACTGTAAGTGTTATCTAACAAAAGGGTAGTGAATCATACATAAATAGATGCTTGTATGGCTTTCATTTTAAATTGAACACAAGTTTTATAACGTGGGAATAATTTAATAGAGACATTTTATTAATAACATAATCTTGAAAAGAAAACAATTTTCTAAAATATTTGTATAAATCACTGGCTGAGACTAGAGATTTTGTACCAAGCCCAATACATAGGAGAGAATAATGCATGTGTGTGAGAAATGTTACCAAGATTTTCTCTAAATTATGCCTAAGGTGACGTGTATATGTTTCCATCACATAAACACTTTCAGATTTTAATAGTTAATAATAACTACTTGAATATATCACTTTTACCAGGCCCTTCAGAAGTGTGGACTTAACCATGTACTCTATGGCTACCTGAAGGGAGTTGGTCAACCTCTAGATATAAGCTCAGAACTGCTTGAATATCAATGTGAATCTGCATGGCGAATAAGCCAATGGGATGTTGACTTACCAGAGAGGTTTGTAAATGATGTTATTTTTACAGTTCTTGCCTTCTGAGTTAGTGAGATGTAATTTCATCAGGAGTGATGGTATAGCTTGGTTCTAATCTTCTTCTTTGTTTGGTTTTGATTTATTAGAAGGATTTGTAAGATTTGTTTTCAGTTTCTTGATAATTGGTTGGATATGAAAAAGTGATTAGCATGTGCCTTGTTGTTTATGTATTTTTCTCAAAATGATCATGGCTTTTAAATTATTAACTCTATCAACATGGGCTTGGTCGATTTGACCGACCATGTGACCTCATTGTACTCGATTAAAGTCTTTATAGATTTGACTAATTTTTTATATAGTATGTATATCTTCAAAAAATTTGGCAGTCTTTCAGCAAACATATCAAGTTATTCACATACAAAAATCATATTTTTTAGTGAAGTATTTTAAATAAACTAAGAAAAGATTTGTGTGTGAATATATTGAGTATTTGTTTTTAAACTCATAACAGTATGCATCTACTTATATTGAAATTTTATTGTTTTATTGCCATTTGAACTGTGTCTAACTACTAATTGTGCCATTATAAGTTGTAACTCACTTGGGGAATGTGGAGCTCACATTACGCTATCGGATTACATTACCATGAGCTACTCTGAGCTGCTTGTGTGTGTGTGTGCCTTGTGAAACATTTTGATTATATTATTATCATTTCACCTAATCTAACCTTAACTAACCTAAAGAGATCTATATTTTTAAATTTTAGTTACTTTTATAATAGTAAATAAAGAATAAACATAAAAACAAGAAATAAATACTTACCCGAGTATTATTTTTTTCTCTGTCAACTGTCATGACATTTAACCATACTTTTTTATACTAATGGTAGTAGTGCATTAAATAATTTTTACTTAATTGAACAATGTACCAAAAACATAGAAAAACAACATGCAAAAAGCAGACAATTTCCTCTAACAATCCCGTTTTCTGACTTTCTAACTATGCGACAAGAGCTGTTACAAATTCATCCAATCTAGTCAATATCTTTCCCGTGGGAACAAAGCTTCTACTAAAAGAGAAACTGACAATTATCTGTTCAGAACACAACGTAACATAACATGCCATTTGATAGATGAAAGCCTTGGCTTTCTGTTGGTTATAGATAATACAGAATAAAACATAAGAAAGAACTATTAATAAATCTTGAGAGAGAGGATGTGACAGGTGGGTGTGGCAAGAGGGGTCTGATTTTATATTTGATAGCTCTGTAACCAAACAGAATCAAAGACTATAAAAATTATATTTGTCTGAGCAATGATGATATTATAGTAAGTAATTTACATTTAATTTCATAGTTATTGGAGGGGTGGTGGATAAAATAGAGAAGAGGAGACACCTAGAGAACATTTGTCATGTGTGTCACTCTAGGGTAAATTCAGGATTTTTTAAAAAATTAAGAACTTAAAACTTATATACTAGTAAAATATGGATTATTATCTAATATTTTATGCTATACTAATTGGTTTAACATAAACAAAATCTAGTTTAATAAAATTTTGAATGTAAGACACTAAAAACTTGTGTCAGGCACAGTAAAGAATACCCATGGTGATAAGATTAAAATAGTGTTTTAAAGCAAAAATGGTTTTACATTTAGAATTACAGCACTTTGATTCATTATTTCCTATATAGATGTGTTTTTTAAAGATGTACGAATAGAATATTTGTAGAGTATTTGTTCTTAGGATGTAGTGTCATAATAGATTTTGTCCCGTGGTGGAATAGCAGTATGTCTATGAACTTACAACACTAAAATCTGTTCTATTTGCTGTGGTGGACACAACAGATAGCCACTGTGTGACTTTGCTCTTAAAATAAACAAACGAACAAATGTAATAGATTTTATAGAATTTAGTTTCAGGAGTTTTTGTATCACAAGAAACTTTTCTCATGAAAGAGTACATGTTATTTTGTTTGGTAGTTAAACTGACAGCTTTTTAAATACCATTCTGAGAATTCTTGTTAGATGAACTTGCATTTGGATTATCATGGTGATAAGCATTTACTGGTTTGTTTTATTTCATTTTTTTTTGTATTATTCCACAGTTTTGAAACGGTTATTGTCAAGGTTCCTTGTTGTAGAACTGTTTTTAGTCATAGTACAGTAGTTTTTTAGTTTATTTTTCTCTGTGTTTGTTGATGGTACAGTTTTTTATTATTTTTGTTAGTACATTTTGTATGCAATGCACTTTCTGTAAAAATGCTTGTAAATGTTTTGTTATCAGAATTGATTTATTTTTCACTTGAATTTTCTAGATTTATTTCATAACTTTATTACTGTGTAAATTATATAGTAGTGAAATTTGTAGATTACAAGACGTTCTTGTAATGGATGTAAACTTCAGTTGGTAAACAACAGATTTAAAAAATTTGTTTGCATTTTGATTCTTTATGAAACTCATGAAAAATTATTTACATAAGAAAGCTTTTATATTCCCAATTTAATATGTAGCAATTCTAGAGGAACCATAGGTTTTCAGCAAGGGATTTACCAGTGCTTGACATCACTAGTTTGTAAGGAGAAGGATAGTTTTATTCAAAATTTGGAAATCTGTAGGTGAGTTCATTTTGAAACTAATGAAAAAATATCAAGTTAGTGGTGTTACCAAAGATTTATTTAAAGCAGATTACAATAAAGTAAATTTTTCAGAATTTTATTCTTCAAACAAAATTTTTAACTTGTTTAGACTTTAAAGAAATAAAATAATGAAATAATTGATTGTGAAGGTTGTCTGCAAATTGTTTTAAACCCAAATAAGAAGTCAGTTTTCTTTTTTACCATTGTGCAAAATAAAAACATAATGTTTTTTTTTTTATTATAAATCATGTTATCTGTTGATGAAAACATTTATGGACATTTAATTTAGTTGATTGAAGATTATGTTTTTCTGTTTGCCATTAAATTTTAATAATTTTAAGCAATATATTGTTGAAAATTCTTTATTTAAGTGTTTTATATAATTTATGTTTGTACTTGCAAAGGTGTTCAGCTTTGGAAGATTTAAACCATACAAGTTTGGAATCTGTTCGCAGCATCTATCCAGCTCTTTGTAATTTTCAGATGTTGGGAATCATGTCCGATTACTTTAATATGCAGTGTGGGTATGTTTGTTTTATTAATTAGTATAATTTTTCAGAGTAAACTATAAATAACAGTATGTGCAATGTTGACCTCCCAAGAAGAGAGTTTGTATCACATTCCAAACAAGAGTATATAAGGTTAAATTAATTTTATCACCAAGAATCAATGAATATAAGTTAAAATAAGGAAAAATAAAATAATGAATGTGAATATTAAATTGATGAATATTTTGATTTTATTTGAAATGAGATTAAGTAATACGCTAAGTGTGTCTTTTCAGTTATTTATAAACTGGTAGAAATTTTTAGTGTAGTAAATTGTTAACCCCTATTTATGCTCTATAAATAATAATTTTTAAAAGTTTTACCATTAAGCCTTTGGATTACATTAGATCAAATAATAGGTAAAATCATCAATCATGCCATTACTTATCAAGAAGAAGGTCACATTTTTATGAAAATAACATGAAAGTATACTTAAAACATCATACCATTACAGTCTGTATTTCTCAGTTGAATAGAAGGTAGCTCAATAAACATTTTAATATTGGTTGTGAATATATTAAAAAAGTACTACTGTTAGATTCACAATAGTATTTGCAATATTCAGACAGAATTGAAGGCTAAATGTTTGTTGGAATTGTATTGATCTTTCTTGTACAATATTTCTCACGTGGTTCATTATAAAAACTTTTTAAGAGGAAGTTTTAAATTATTTGATACACAATTTCTTCACACAGAAGAACTGTTTGTATATCAAATCTTCTAAATGTAGACTGCTTACAGAATGTTTTAAATTATAATTGATGAGTCTTTTTTTTTTTATGATTTGCTTCAAGAATCACCGATGTTGCGGAAGTATTATTTAGGTGGAATAAAATCAGTAATCTTCCATCCAGTGGTTTTGATTTTGATGAACCAGTGTTATGGCTAGAATATGTCCTGCTGAGACAGCATATACCAACTGCTTTTCAGCAAGGACCTGTCATTCAAGGTATCGTGAGATGCTTAGAAAATTATGCAGAAAAAGCCCGGAAAGAAAACTGTCTTTCGGTGAGATATGTATTTCTAATAGTTTTTTTATTGCCAACTTATTCTAATTTTTTTTCTTACGAGTGAAGCTTTCATATTGAAGATGAATAACATAAACCACTAAAAGTTCTTAAATTGAACAGTTTGGTAATAAAAGTAGCTACTTTGATTTTTGAATTTTAAGATTACAAAAATATCGTTCTATCGAAGCATTTAGTAAGAACAAATGTTTTAGAGAAAGTGTATTAAGGTTTGACTTGTAAAAATGACTTTTTTGATGTTTATATTTTGTCTACGTTATGGGTTTTTTTAAATGAAATTTTATAAACAGCTGATAACATCAATAAAATTAGTTTTTTTGACAAATGTTAACAAATATTTTTTTGGATATTGGGGATTTTTTGTTTTAATTTAGCTTAATTATTACATAGACATACTTTTTGTGAGTTTTTAAACTGGTTAATAAAGAAAGACTATATGTGTGTGTAATATATATATTAGTAAGTGTTATCCGGCTGTACACCGAAATAGTCTGTTAACTATATATATATATATATGTATGTATATATATCAACATATATTTTTTTTGTCCTACATAAATCAAGCAACATTGTTTTCATCTACTAATATGTTTTGTTTTCGTTTTTATCAGTCATTTGTGTTGTTAAATAAGAAGCTAGGTACAATTGAGAAAAGTATAAGCCTTACAGTATTTCTTGTGAACATTGTAGATAGAACATTTTCTTCATGAGAATATATTGTAGTTATTTAGTTACTTATTTTAGTTAACAGACTTTTTCTGTGTACAGCTGGATAACACTTACTAATTGATCTTTACATACAATTATTTTTATAAAATTTATTTACTTAGTACAAATGATTTTGAAACTTATTGCTAGTAGCTTATTATTAAAATAGTTCATAGGAATTTTTCTCTATGTAGTCTGAAGAGTTTTTATGATTATAACAAAAAATTGTAATATTTTATAACTGATCATTTTATTGTTACACTCCATTTTTTATGAGATATGTATATTTCTCTTACCATACGTTGTATTTCCATGTGTAAATTCTAATATAAAAGTCTACAGCTTACCTTTCTTTTCCTTCTTTTATTAATAAATTATAGAACTTTTTCTAACATTCATTTTCTGAAAAATTTACTTTGTTTTGTATGGAATAGATGAACTAAAGTTTTCATATATCATATTAGATATGTATTACTATACTGTCTGTCATCAAAACTTCCATATTTGTATGGAATAGATGAACTAAAATTTTCATATATCATATTAGATATGTATTACTATACTGTCTGTCATCCAAACTTCCATATTTGTATGGAATAGATGAACTAAAGTTTTCATATATCATATTAGATATGTATTACTATACTGTCTGTCATCAAAACTTCCATATTTGTATGGAATAGATGAACTAAATTTTTCATATATCATATTAGATGTGTATTACTATACTGTCTGTCATCAAAACTTCCATATTTATATGGAATAGATGAACTAAAGTTTTCATATATCATATTAGATGTATATTAATATACTGTCTGTCATCAAAACTTCCAAACTAACTTTTTGTTATAAACAATAATTTTTTTTAAAATCTTGTTAATGGATACTTTGTTAAAATGTTGTAATAATTAGAATACCTGTTTTTTGTTGTTTTTTCTCATGCAGGATGCTGATAAAGCTGTTCACACTCTTCGCAGCCTTTCTGGAAGTGCTACCCAAAGAGCTCTCTGGTGGAAACTAGAAGAAGCTAAGGTTTACTGGGATAGATCTGAAGTTACAGTAGCAAAAAACTTATCAAGGTCACTTCTTAGAAACCTTGAAGGAGTTAGTAGCATTATTGTTCTTACATGTGAAAATTATTAACTATAAGAGTATAAATTTACTATTAAAGTTATAAGAAAAAACATTTGGTGCAACGTAAAATGTAACATTTTGTACTTGTGATATCAGAATGTTTTTATTTTTAAAAAAATTATGTAATTTATTATCTCCTTCATGAATTTCATTGATATAGTTTCATGAATAAGTTTTGTATTACCAAAAGATTGTCTGATTTGTTAAACAGGTTTTTTTAATAAAAGTAATTATTGGGACCAAATTAGGAAAAGATTAAATCTTATCATTATTTTCTGTAGTTTTCAGTGCATTTATTGTTTTATCCACAACACAGTATTAAATTCTTAAACTGTATTTCTTCATAAAATCTACATTTTTTTTTACACTGCTCACTTGATTACAGATTTAAAAAGCAAATATCTACGTGAGTTAGGTAACTGAATTTTGAATTTTTACTTACAATCTTTGTGGAAAAAATTTATGTTTTGCATACAAGTGTGTACTAGTGTTTCATATACTACACTAAAGGTTCAGTCTTATACATAAAAATACAACTAAACAAATTAAACTCTGAAAGAAAAAGTAACACAAGAAATACATTTGCGACTAATTTCATTTAACTGTATTGCTTGTAGGCCATTACTCATACCTTGAAGCACTTTTGTATGATGTTAAATTCTCTTTAACTCTTTATTATCTCCACCTGTACATTTAAGCATGCTAGACATCATCTCCAACTTTATATATATATATATATATATATATGTATATGCCAAATGTTTCGTGCACCATTTGAGTGCCTCATGCCTGGTTTGTTGTGGTCAAGATGATGCTATGGTAATGGAAAATACCCTTCAGTGGATGATAAGGGTTAAAACTGGAATGTCCCATTGAAAATACCCTTCCATGGATGATAAGGGGTAAAACTGGAATGTCCCATTCATTTTTTTTTTACTTAATGTGCAAAAAAGTAATAAAAACATTCTGTTCGGTACCAATGTAATCCATTATTATAAGGTTCAGATGTGCCAAGTTTCGTGTATTAAATACATTCCAAGCTTCTCAAGATAGGAAGAAAGTTCCAGTGTAAAAATCTATATTTTGAAGTATAGGCATTAGTTGTTTAGTGACACACTCTCTTTTTTATTACATTTCTTTTCTTAATAATCAGTTAAGTATTACCTTGATAATTTTTATGAATTTCATAGTTTTTTCATTTGTTTAAAGTTACGTGAACATAATGAGGGATTTGATTAAAAAGTAAGACACATTGCTGTTGGCAGAGTATAGTTATACATTGTTTTCAGATATGTCAAGGCACTTTAAAACTTTTTCTGGCAGTAGATTAAATACATGTAGTGTCATTCCAACTTGAAACCTGATGCTTTATTTTTCTTATTTTTTTAGATTAATAAATTATTAAATACCTTTAGGTGAGAGAGCATTGTAGTATCCATTTGGGAAGATATTGCTTTGCTCACAGTTTTGATTATTATTATGTTTTATGAGACTGATATGAAAACCATTTTATCCATAGAGTGAGTACAAAATCATTTATTGAAGTCTGTCAAGTGAGAATTTTTTATGAAAGTGCATTTAACTAGTATAGGATGAAATGCCATTTTGCACGTTGTTGTTAAACAAAGTGAAGTGTGTTGTTTGTTGCTGTAGAAGTACCACGAGAGTGAAGAGCTATCAATATTGTACGCCGAAACCCTCACCTTGTATGGAAGCTGGTTAAGTGATTCTTGCTGTGAAAGTTCTGAAACTATAATGACAGATTTCCTTGAGAAAGTGAGTACATATAACGATTGTAAGTAATTTAGAAAGTAATGTTTTAAATTGCTTTTATAGCTGTTAGACTGAAACTTTCATTACTGACCACTAGCATTACTAATTCAAACTATTAAAGGTTTATTAGTAAACAAATACTGAATACTGTATGAATTATGGAACATATGCAAATATAAAATTAAACTTTTTAATAACTATTTAGTACCTTAGAGAGAATATTTTATGCATTACAGCCACCAACCAGAACAACAAAAGCTTGTAAATTTTAGTTTTCCAGGAATTAAAGATTTTGAAATAAGTTTATCTCATGATGCTCACATTCATTATGAATTTTTATCTTCCTTTTTGTGTGTTATGAAATGAATGTTGGTTTGCCAGTAGGAAAAGTATCACTTTGAAAGATTAGTTTATTTATATTCCTTGTGAATTTGTGGATTAAAAATTTTTTCATCTGCCACTTATGTAGCCATACTTAAAAATTAGTGTTATTTGTATTGTTTGGTATGTTTAGGAAAAATAGAAACTCTTTAATATTACATTAGAAACAAACCAAATCTATTTAATGTTACAATAAGTAGATTCTGGGCTCTACAACTTAGTTTTCAAAGCTCAGGAGTGGTGCCAGCATCTGTCAACACCAATGAAAGAAGTGAAAAACTCAAATTTGTGGCTTCCTAAAGATCCAGTAACTTAGAAAATAAGTAATATAGTATTCACTGTACTTTGCTAAAGGCAACTTTCTGAAGGAAAAATAATAATCAACTTCATATTAAGTATTTTGAGATTGGTTGAATTATTTTATGAGTTTTACCTGTTAGTATATGTGTTATTATTTACACAAAAGTGTAGTTTGAAGTAGTGGAAATTGATCCAATGTTATGACTTAAGCAAAAAATACAGTGTTATGAATAACAATAAAAAATAAAAACTTCATTTTAGTCATAACTGGCAGTTCAATTTTGGGAATGTCAAAAGACAGTTTTATATATGTTTGAACAAAATTCTTTTAGATACATTTTGCAAGTTTATAGCTCATGTTACTGTGGTAGAATATTGATCTATATCATGTTTTTAAATAGCTGATTAATCAGTTTTATGGCACTTGCTTTAGAGTAGTATAAACATTCTGCTCTTTAGGCTGTCCAAGTTCTCGATCCTCTCTACCTTCTGGACAAGACAGTTCTCTGGAACGCTTACCTGGCAGTAGCTAGATATGCTGATGCCCAGTACCAAAACATTGTAAACAATATGCGCTCCCTTTCCTACCAAGCCAAGCAAGGTTTGATTAGACAATGCAGGAGAGAAGCCAAAAAGCTGGAGGAGATGAAGAAAATTGTTGCTTTAACTAAGGAGTAAGTCATATTTCATTTAAAACTATCTTAGCTTTATTTTCAAACTTTTGAAATAGTAGATCACACTGCAGTTTTGGTTTATAACAGTAGTAGTGCATTTATATGTCCTTCAGGTTCCGTACATTTTTTCATTCACTTGTGTGTTAAAAGAGGTTTAGTTGAAAAATCCATTAGAAGCAGATAGAATGTCAGAGGACTATTAACCCTTTCTAGCTTGGTGACATTTTGGTGCAATTTCTATATTTGAATGAATAAATATTAGGCCTCTTGCTATGGCCATCCTTTTCTGCACATGTCATGAGGTTTCACAGAGTTATAATGAAAATGTAATTAAAACTACTTTCTTATCATGGTATATGAATAAGCTTATCATAAAAATGTAGTTAATAACTAAAATTTTAATATTATATAAGTTTTAAACTCTTAATTTTATAAGGCAATATTATAATGTCTCCTAGTATGAGAATTGTGACATTTGCTCTCTAGGTATCCCCTCTTCTTTAATTTATTTACCACCCTTCTGAGAAGTATGAAATTTAATGCGAATTACTCATTATAATGTTTTCATTTCCAGTTCAAACTTTATCCTGCAGGAAACACATCAACGAGCTTAGCTGAATATTTAATAGTTCTTGTTGCATTGTTAGAAAGTCAGAAAAAGTGTGATAGTTATAGGAAATTGTCTGCAATTTTGCATTTTATTATTGTGTGTGTGTGTCTTGGTGCTTTATTTAATTAAATAAGAAATTATTTAGTGCAGTAGTACTATTGGTACAGAAAAGTAGGGTTAAGTTTCATCGACAGTTGATGGCGAAAAAAAAAGAAGAAAGAAAGAAGACACATATAAGCGCTATATTTCTTGTGTATTCTTTATTTATTATTATAAAAGAAACTAATGTAAAAATTAGAAACTTTTTTTGGTTAGATTAGGTAAAATTAATAGTAGTAATTTTTGGTGAGGTGTGCTTGCAAGCAAGTTGGAAGTAGCCTGTGCATTACGTAATGCAATAGGGTAATGTGAGTTACTCATTTGCCAAGTAATTTACAACCTATGTGGCTTGAATATTAGTTAAACATGGTTCAAACAGCAATAAAACAGTAAAATTTAGATATAAACAGATGTATAATGTTACGAGTTTAAAGCTATTTATGGTAAACAAATGTAGTTTCATATTACAATTTGAAGTCATTCTAGAAAGAAAAAAAGGGTAATTTAGATTTCTTTTGAATTTTTTTTTCTTTTTTCTGGTGGTAACAAGAATGTCATTTTTGACCAACCTTTTAAAGAATTAGGGCAGAGAAAATAAAAGAAAAAATATAAATTTCTACTGAAAAAAAAAAGTTTGAAATTTATTTGGGAGGTTTTATAGATTATGCAAATGGAATTTGAAAAACTTCTGATGAAGAAAAATATTTTTAATCTTAACATGAAAATCACTTTGCACTTGGAGCAGTCAACACTGACTTCATATATTCATGGAGAAAGTTTTAGTGAAATTACTTCATTAAAATTTCTCATTTTTTTGTCTGCAAATGACCCTTAGGGCTTACTGGAAGCTTGCAAAAAATTTTGATGATATACAAAACATACTTGAAGTTATAGTATGAAAACTCTAAAGATCGATTCTTAAGTCAAATTGACCAAGCTCTTAGTGAGAGAGTTAACTTGTAAATGTCATCATTTTTGAAAGTCAAACATTTCAAACATAAATCATGATAACCATGGAACATTTTTGAATCTTAACTTTTTTCAATTTAAATGAGAAATTCACAATTTATGATTAAAAAAACGAACAAATCTGATTATTGAATAGAACACCCTTAACTACTGACCTAAATGCCAGGTTTCACTAATGATATCTTATGCTAGTAATTGTAATTAATTCTGTTGTGAAATATTTACATCTTTAGCATAGATAGTATTTAACTTACTATATGTCTTACTTATAATAAAAGTTATCTCTATACTGCTGTTCCAAAAAGACCCAACACAGTAAACCTTTCAAGTTTATGACTGAGTGAAATACACTCTAAGAATCCATAATTTCAAATTACCAGATGAAGTTTTTGTAAAGTTGAAAGTTACTTCCAAAGTAATTATTTACCTGCAGGCCTCAGTTTATTAATGAGCAAACTTTTTATTTGGAGGCTCTGTTCACCTTTGGCCCTGGTCAAGATCTTAAACAAATTAGAATGGATGGGATGTCACTTTTGCCTAGGGTGTATACAAGTATATTAGACTTAACTTGAAACCTGAAGATAGCACTAACACTTTCACATGTATTATGGATGGGATGTCACTTTCGCCTAGGGTGTATGCAAGTATATTAGACTTAACTTCAAACCTGAAGATAACACTAACACTTTCACATGTATTATTAATTTTCTTTTAGTAGACCTAATGTAGCCTTGCTAACAGCAGGGAGAAGTAAATTTGTAAGTAATGAAAGACAATTGTAAAGTTCAAATTTGGTCCTTGACATTAAAGAAAAACTAAGGGAACAATTACATTTGGAAACACACCTCAACTGTATCTGCAGTTATACCCTATGAATGGCATTTTTTAGCTGATTTTTTATAATGAAAGAATATTAACCCATATAGGATAGAACAATAACAAAAAGAAACTTGGGCACATCTATAATAGATGGTATATCAAGACTTTGCTTATTCAAATAACAATGAAGTATTCTATTGATAACATTATCCAGAAATTCCTTTTTATACATAAATTATTTGATATTCATAAATTCTTTTTGCAAATTCTCGTGTTTGCTAGACATCTTGTAAGCATAAAGAAAAATTATTTTAACTACATTTTCTTTAAAAAATACTAGAAATAAAATTTACAAAGTTAAAACATAAGTCCGTGAAAGTTTTTGTGAAACTTTTCACATCTAAGTTGTCCACTGTTATTACTGATTAAAGTGTCCAAAAGTGGACGTTTATGATCCTCCAGATTTTCTACAATAAACTTCATACTATTTTGTGTGCTGTTTAGATACTGTACGAATCGGGAAACTTGATCAGGGACAGTGATGAACAGTACCTCCAAATAAAAGAGAGTTTGCTCATTTATAGCTGATGCCTGAAGTTAATATTCTTAGTTTTGCAAGTACCTCACTGTTAAAGCTGTGAAAATGTAGGGAATAAAGTAATTATTTCAACAAAATAAACAAACATGGAAACCAATAAAATTAATATATTATCTTTACATGGTATACAAAAATGCAAAACCATAATATAGTTAGAATATTTGAAGGCATATGATGCAAAAAAATATTTTGATATAATAACTAATAGTATAGAAATTTATAATCCATCCTTATAGAGAAGAAAATACTATGGTAAATAACCTATGAGAAAATATACAAAATTTTCAGACTGTATATTTATGATTTTGTTTTAAAAACTTGTAAATTGTTAAAATGTGAGGTTAGTTTAATCTTAAGTTTTGTGACACTAGATGTTTCTAAAATTAACTTTTTTCAAACTATTTAAAGTTGAAATGAACAATAAACGTACAAACATGTAATGTTATGATTCATATGTTCAAATGTTTTCTCTTTCTAGCTGGAAAGCTAAACAAATTCTACTTATCAAATAAAAATTGCAATAGAAGTAAAAATTCAAATTTGGGTTAACAATTGTACCTTTTTGGATTTGAACATTTTAATTACTGTTTTATGTTGTATGTGATTTGAGGAGACATTTTAGGCAGAATTTTGTAAAACTTAATGAAAGGCTGAAAAGGAGTTAATGTGATACATTCAAAAATGTTAATTCTTGCAGTTAAAGAAAGAATGAAAATGAAGTTTCAGGTAAAATATACATTCATACTATTGTATGTAGACAGGAAAACTCTTTATAGACTTAACAAAGTACAACCCACCCATTTATACTGAAACAACATGGTAGTTGTTACTTGGCAATGACCTTGGTATGAAATGTAATTCATTCAGCATTTCAGGACAACAAATGAATGAATTTATACTACTAACACACACACACACACACACACACACAATATATATATATATATATATATATATATATATATATATAGAGAGAGAGAGAGAGAAAATAAACCTTAATACAACTTTATTATGTATTAAATGAAAACTACCTATTCTTAGCTGTTATAGTGTGGCAGTCATTTTAAGGGTATCCTGCTTGGTATGGGGAATATTTGTTAGTAAAAACCATATATAAAAAAAAAATTGTATTTAATTAACTATATTGATGGCCAGTTTAAATTTGAGTTTCATTCCAAATAAATAGATTACTCTGATCAGAAGTTATTACTTATCAGACAGTATAGAGCTCAACAGGAATATGCAGTTCTTACTTATTATTTTTAACTTGTAATATTTCTAATAAGACAGTATTGTTATAATTTATTCATTTAATGTAGTACTTAAATTAATATTTCTCAAATTTACTTATTTTAAATATTCATTTACATTGGTGTACTGTACAACTTTCCTTGAGACAAGACAATAGAAAAGGCTGTTAACGGTAATGCTATTTTACGACTACATTATAAATACTATTAAAAACTACAAGCATTTCTTAATTGAGGTACCAAAAAATCAAGATATCATATTGGTGACTTCAAGTGAGCTTTAATTAACAGCTTTACTTTATTACTTTCTGAAGCATTTCCATAGTTATTTGTTTGGAGATCATTAAAAAAGAAGGGAAAACTGGTAGAAATTTAAATTATTCACAAATTAATAGTTTCTATACAAATAAAGCAATTATTGAATACTTTCTCAGTTGATGCTTATTACAATGCAAAAGGTATTAATAAATTTATTTCTGAAAAATGTTTATTTAATTGTTTGAAAAATGTGTGATAATTAGAAAATACTTGGTCATGGCCTTGAAGTATTTAAATTTCTTCTCTCCTTTTTCAGAATATGAATTTAATTTAAAGGTTTTTAAAATAATGAATTACAGTTTTCAAACAGTTACAAAATTTTTCCCATTCTTTTTTGTACAGCTGAATTTAGCCATTACACAAGTTAGAGGGAGATCAGCTTAATATTAAACAAGACTTAAGAAAATTATATAGAGAAAAGCAGGCTCCCTTCATTCTAATATAATACTTGTCCTTAGACTGAAAGGGTGTTTTGTTTTCAGTCACATATTTATTCGTACTTTAGGCTTTCCATAGCCTTAGCAGTTGTTTTGGTATTAACCTTGGCTGATGTAGCAGCATGGTTAAGCCTTGATTGTCAAAGAAGTTTACTCTTTGTACATGCTCTTGTTGAGATAGAACATGTGCTCCACATTCTAACTCATGGTTAAAGTCTGTAGTCAGAAATAGAAAACTGTATCACTAAAGTTAGTTGATAGTAGTTATTTTCCATAATTAATGTGTACATTCAAAATATTATCTTGCAATATAACAATTGAACCTAATGATTTATGGTAAAAGAGAAAAACAAAATGATTTTAATATTAAATTATGGTTAATGGACAGAAGATGTTACATGTATTTGATACTATTTATGTATGTATGCTTACTTTTATAACTAGATATGTGTAATAACTACTAAAGTATGTTTTATGTTTCATGCAGACAAACCAAGACTCTAAAAACTCTTATCAAACAAAGTGACCTTGATGAGAGGGAACTGAATTCTACATTAGAACACAAAAACAGATTTCTAAGAAAAGCATTAGGAAACTATCTGCATTGTCTCCTTGGTACAGATGCCCATGACCTTCGAGTATTTCGGCTTACCTCCTTGTGGTTCCAGAACTCTACCAATGAAGAAATTAACACTCTTCTCAAGGTTTGAGCACACTTATTTGGTTGTAGTGATAGTTTTAATATGATTTTAGACTTGAAATAGTTGAATTACCTTAAATCTTCATAGTTCCTATTGCTGAATGAAGTTAGATCTAAATCTAATAATAGGTGATATTAACATAGAAAAATGTTAAAGTGTGTAAAAATAAATCTAGAAACTATTTCTCAGAAAATTTAGTGTCTTTATTTTTCATTGGGCACATTTAACAGACAGTGTATTTGTATTTATATGTATTCTACTTTAAAAATATCACAAAAAAAAAAGAGTATTAATTCATAGATATAAATTTAAGAAAATTTCTCTTATGTTGCCAGTAATGACCAAAAATCCACTGAAATCTTGAAATGTGGCAAATAGTGTATAGAAAAACCAAGAACTTTAGTTGTTTTACAGCACACAGGGAAATACATAAACAGAGTTTGCACAAGGATTTACTTCCTGTCTGATTTTGAACACAGGAGCTGAGGTGGTAATCTTAATATGTCAGCTAACCTGAATTATTTTGTATTTTGTTCTGCAATGAAGACTAATTTAATAATCTGTTTTCCTTTTAATGACAAGGGAATAATGAAAACTCAACATAAAAGAAAATATAGGTTTAATTAATCCTGTGGTCTGTATCAGCTACACACTTTGACATAAACAGTTCTTACATTTTATGGATTCTAAGTCAAACTAGTTAACTTTTCCATATGGTAAGGTCAATGTTTTTCATGTCATGACTTTTTACAGAGTTAAATTCATTATTTAATTAAACAACTTTGTTATGAAATTATGTCATTACACTTGGCATCAAAATGTAGTTTATAAATTGTATTTTCATATTATCAAAGTTTTAATTTTTTAATTTCATAAGGAAATACTAAAAGATTCTCAATCTTCACTTATCTTTGTCACATGTCTGAATTCTCCCCATTTAAATTTCATATCTTCAGAATGTCAAATCAGCTAGAAACACAAGCTATGTATAACTGCAAGTAAGAATATAAAATTTGAATTTCATGCGTTCGTGATTTCTAAGACATCAATACACTTGTCACACCCATTCCATCTTTCCATGTGTTTCAAGACACTTATGTAATCATGTATGCTTGTGCGATGGACATGTTTACAACCAATAGAAAGAACATATTCTTCTCTACTTACAGTTTTTTACTTTTTGGTGGGCAGACATAGACAGTTGACCTTAGATTATTTGCCAGTGATTGCTGTTGTTCAACTGAGCAGTTAACAGATTTTTTTTTGCCTAATTATAGCTGAGTTAGAAAGTCAGATAAATTGTTGTAGTTTTGGGACATTCTATTCTAGTGGGATGTATTTTTTGTTTTTTAAAATGCCGATTTGAAAATTACATGAAATACTTTTTCTTTTTATACAACCAAGTTTGTGAATAAAACAAATTAGGGTTAACAGAACAGACCCATGACTAGCTTCCAAGAGCAAAAGGTCTCGGTAATGAAGTTTATATATTTTTTAGCAAAATTAACTGAAATGTAAAAATTATAAACTTTCAGTTTATCTGAACAAAACTCTTAAAATGTCTGTGTGACTGTTTTCACATGTGAAGTTTGACACTAATTCATGAGCTAGTACTTGAACTCTCTACTTCAAACATGTAATAGGCTTTTGCTGTGGTTTATTGCTTTTCACATGTAGTTGTGGGTACAAAGCCTACAATAAAATTAAAAGAAAATGGATGGAAAAGGTTAACAGTTGAAATTGTGAATTAATTGAAAATTTTGCAAAACTGATGCAATCGAAGAAGAAAAAAAAGGTGTTATTCACTTTATTTCATATTTTTCAACATTTAATTTCCCTGTACGTTGATGATTTTGCTACCATTAATATTAGGGTAGAAATAAAAAAGAAATAATATATAAAGTTTTTTAAAAAAACAACAACACGGATATTCCTTTTGTAGGTTCTAGAGATTATGCAGGTCAAAACTGGATGATGAAAATAAGTATTTCCGATATGGTACTTCCCTCTTCTCACAAGGTTAGCCATTCTCATCCATTGCTGCACTCTATATGCAAACGTTTTTCCTTATGCATGCACAAGCTTTCTGCACTCCCCTATTGGAATCAAATGATCCCAACATGTCTCTAATGCAAACCATCATGCATCACTTTTCCACTAATAGGAGCTTGACACACTCACGTGAAGCATGTGACTCCCTCTATGCTTCTCTACTGAACTGTCACTTTTTGTTTGGTAGTGCTTGTGCTTGGATGTATTTCTTTGTTTGATTCAAGTTTCTCCGTCAACTTTAGTATACTTGCAAAGTGTTTTCATTTAAATTACTTCCAAGTTTGTTAAGACTTTTTCATCACTTTTATTTATTGGTTGACTCTTCTTGATTATGAATTCCAAAGATCATATAACTACTTCTGGGTCACACCTGTGACTAGCATTTTGTCATAAGTCTCAGGTGCTGGCAACCCATTGGGAGATTTATCTGCATTTACTCGCAGGGAGATTGAACGTTACATGGGTCAACCTCTATCTCTGGACCTCATCCCATTTCGTCCCAAACATGCTGAGCCCTGTTCAGGCTGACGAGGACTTGAATCGCCTATTTTCACCTCCTGATTTTGCCATACCTACCCATGTTCCTCCCAAGAAGTCGGTTAGGCTACTACAGTCATTTTGGATTTTGTTTCTCAGGTATGTGATGTTTTATTCTTTGCCCCTATTTCCTATGAACTGTATCCTTTTTTACTATATGACCAATCTTCATATCCCTATTTGGTTTTCCCCCCTCCCCAGATATTCAAGTACATGCTGACCAACTTGCCTCACAATTAAGTGACGGGATTAGCATGCCTTGCCCCCCACAGGCTTCGGATCAGTTTGCTCTTGCATATCATCGTGCAGACTGTCCTTTTCTAGACCAACAATTGTTAGGTTCTATTTTAATTGCTTGGAGGGTGGTCCCAAATCTCCTGTAAATCTAACCTATGCCCAAATTTCCCACCTTTGTCATACCCTCACAACTCTTTTACAGTATCTCTCTACCATGCATCTCTTCTTTGAGGTTCTCCACCAAAATTTTAAGGAGTTTTCTAGTGACATCCTCTCCCTTCTTTCCTCCACATTGACTCATTTTTTGTTTTCGACTTTGCATACATGGTTTCTCTGTGTTTGGGACCTTCTAGTTCGTGATGTGACATTAACTCCCATGTGTTTACCAGCATCTTATCTTCAGGATTTATGTATGGCTCCATTTTTATGGTGTTATGTATTTGACACGATCCCTGAGTCCTTGGAGTCATGTGTTGCATTAGTACAACAACAATCTACCCTTTCCAATCTTGTTGCCTGTTTGTCTCAGTTGGAGCACAATATGACACCTATTACAGTTTCCCATTCTTCTCCTTCCCCAACCCTTACCTGTCCCTGCCTCTCAGGGTGCCATGTCTTCTCGTTATCTTCGATGATGCATGCCACGTCTCCAAAAGTATTGGTGACTACCCAGTGGGTTCTGGTCCGGTGGGATCTTGACTTGCCAATTTTCTTCATCACTGGTGTCCTATTATCAAAAATCATTGGATTCTTCAAGTTTTATCAGATGGATTCTTGATCCTGTTTCTTTCCCCACCTCCCATGTCTCCCATATCCGTTTCCTTCCCTCTGCCTCTGGATCCAATGACTAGACAGCATCTTTCAGAGGAGGTTCAGGACCTACTAACTCAGTAGGCCATTGAACCTGTTTTACATACTTCACCAGGTTTTTATTCCAGACTCTTTGTTGTTCCCAATAAAACCAGTGACTGGAGGCCTGTCATTAATTTGTCCTGCCTCAATTGCTTCATTCAACTGCCCTGTTTACCATGGAGTCTTTTCTCACTCTATTGTGAGCATTTTCTATTAGCTTATGGATGACCAAGATGGATGTTGCCAGTGCTTATCTACACATCCCTGTCTCAACACAGTCATGTCTGTATCTTTTATTCATCCATCGCAGTGTGGTTTACCAGTTTCATGCCCTACCCTTTGGCTTTTTTTCTGTCTCTTATGTTTTCTCTCGGGTGGTTAGAGCTTTTGCTCACCATCTTCATGCTCAGGGGCTGTGATTCCACCATTATATGGAAGACTAGCTTCTTCTGACTCCGAACTAGAGTTGGCCAGCCATACTTGTTAGTTCCTTCACATGGCTGCTCGGGTGGGCTGGTTAATCAGATTGGAGAAGTTCTTTCTCCATCCTATCCAATATCTTGTCCATTTAGGTGTTCTTTTCAATGCTCAACTTAGTCGAGCCAAAACTTCTCCTCTGCAATTTCGTTCCATGGAATTGTTAGTTCGCCACACCCTTTCAGCACCCTTACTTTCTGCTTGCAAGGTGCTATTGCTTTTGGGGATGTGGTCTTCAGTGATGTCATTGCTCTCTCTTGGCTTTGCAGTCTATGGGGTTTTCCACATGTAGATGCATTTGCCACAGTCTTCAATCACAAATTACCCATCTTTTTGTCCCCTTTACCTCATCCTTGGGCTCTGGCAGTTGATACCTTCAGCCAGGATTAGTCCCACAGATTCCTTAATGTTTATTCTCCTGTCTGATTACTTCATTGGGTGGTTTCTCTCATTCACACCACACTGTGTCAAGTCCTCTTGATCGCTCCCTATTGGCCAGCTCAACCGTGGTTTCCATGATTACACCAGCTGCAACTTTTCTCTCCAGTACCTCTTCCCTTGTCTCCTTCCCTTCTTCGTCAATCTCAGTCACCAGTTCTACAACCTGCCATTCATGTCCTTCATCTTCACGTCTGGCTTTTATCTGGTCCTTGGTGAGGAGATCAGCTTTCTCCCATCGAGTAGCTATACTTTTGGCTTGTTCCATACGTCCTTCTTCAATGAAGGTGTATCAATGCAAATGGAAGGTATTCCATAGTTGGTCTGCTACTCCACGATTCCCTGCTGCCCGACCTACTGTGGCTTATGTGGCTGAGTTTCTCACATGGGTTTTTGACTGAGGATCTTTGGTCTCTTCAATTTCGAGTTATCAGGCTGCCTTATCCCATACCTTTCACTTTTCCCGATACCATCAAGTTTTTGCTTATGCTGTCCTTACCATATTTATGTGTTCCTTCTGGATTTGTCATCCTCCCAGATTGCCTAGTTTTCTGGACTGGGATATTAATGTGGTTCTCCATTCCCTCACTTTACCTCCATTTGAACCTATTTCCTCGTTCTTCATGTTTCACCTTTCTCTTAAAACATATTTCCTTCTTCTCTTAGCCAGTGGACGTTGAAGGTCTGACATTGACGTTTCACATATGCTTTACCACCACACCTATTTTCTCCTTTATCTGGATCATTCCTTCCTCCCAAAGACCTTGGCGGCTAGGAAGGGTAACTCGTCCTTTTCGCCTATTTCCCCTCCTTCTATTTCTCATCTCTGCGCTCATCCCAATCTGGATAGACTTCTATGTCGCCGTACCCTTCTTTACTGTATTGCCTGCATGGCTTTCTTACATGGTACCCATTCCCGACTCTTTATCCTTTGGAATTCTTCCTCTGTTCATGACCTATCCCATTCTACCTCTGGACTCTCCAATGCAATCTCACCCTCCTTTCCTAGTGGAGTATGGGAGTCCTTACCACTTTCCAATTCCAAGCTGCTGGGGTGGTCGACTGTAGAGGCACCCTCCTGAATGGGTTCCACACAAAGATGGCTATAACCATTCAGTACAGAATAGGGCAGTGGTGTTCTGCAGGTGTAGATGATGTAATATCCTGCAATATACATTCAAAAAGGAGTGAGACGTCAAAGTGCAGTTCATATCTTCGATTGGGAGCCCTCATCCTACCCCCAAATGGATGTCAGTACCCCATGGCTGGGTTTTGGATTTAGAGTAGAACCAATCAACATAAGTCCTCAAACATGTTTCAGGTGTCTATCTTTCTTCCTTGGTCATACTCCTGTGTTGTAGGTCACAGTGGAGATAAAGGGGGATTGCTCTGGTTCTGTCCTTTTTGATACCCCCTGTTGTATCTTAATCTGAGGATGTTATTGCTTTTCTGATGGTTCTGGTCAGCTTCACTGTTGGGAGAGTTGATTTATATCACATAGACATCCTTTAGATACCAAATGTCTGGTTCCCGGATCGATCGATTAAAGCTAATATATGTGTTATCGTCAGGAGTCGAAGTGGTTCTAGATTCCCTTTGGGCTCTTGAACTTCAGGTGAAGATGGTATCACCCTCATTCTACTCCAGTATGGATGTCGGTTCCAAGTGACATAGGTTTTGGATGTAGTTGACTTACCACCCTTCCTCCCCACTTTCCTCTGGTGCTTACGTCTTCTACCAAATTTTGAAGTTATGGTTTGGTAGAGGCATAGAGAGGGAGTCACATGCATCATATGAGTGTGTCACACTCCTATTGGAGAAATGAGAAGTGAGCTAATCTTGTGAGAGGAGGGAGGTACTTAGCAGTAATACATTTTCAGTATAGCAAAATTATAACTTCTGTTCTTAACTGACTGACTCAGTAAAGGCTTCAGAAATTCACAGATAGATATTTAGTAGAAATAGTTTATTAAAATAAATAGTTTTTGTGTATAACAGACTTATACTGCTTAATAAAAGCTTGCAAAATTATATAAAAAAAATATATTTGTTGAATTCAGAGTTATAGTGTGTACAGTTTTGTGATTGCAAAGTAGTTCCAAGTTGGTTGCATTGAAGAACTCTGTATGGAAAGAGATAATTGGTTTCTAATCAGTTCAAGCATGAAAAATTCAGTCTGTAAAACTTAAACGTACTAGCTTTTGTAATCAGAAAAACTGATATATTTTTAAGTTTAACACAAGTCAAGCAATATTTTATTGAATGTTGAATTCAAATATCTGAATGCAGTTTTCTGTAACACTTCAAATTCACTATTCTGACTGTGTCGTATTTTGATTAATTGAAATGTCATCAATATGTTCATATACGTGGCTATTTGTGACAAGTTACAAATTGTGAATTTCACACCAGTTTGGAAGATGCACTTTAAAAAGTAGTTTGGAAAACATCAATTTAAACTTTGCCTTTTAGTAGAAAGAAGTTGATGTGGTATTTAATGCTTTACTTAATTAAAATACAAAAGAAATATATCCAAACTGGTTTTTATCTTGTATGTCATACACCTTTAAAAGTATTACTTTTTTTCTTTTTCATAACATTTCTTTGACTTTTAAATCCAGTGCGACCTGATAATTTTTGTTGTTTAGTGTAGACTTTTACTTGGTCTTCTCTTTGAGTGATATTTATTTGTTTATTCATTTATCTTGATAAGAAGAGATTGTAATATGATAAATTAGTAGTTTATTCTCAAGATTCTAAAAATCATTTTGTTTATTGCATTTGCAGGATACAATTTCCTACTATAAGAAATTGTCTTTGATAATTAAACTTTCATCCTTAGATTGTTAAAGTTGATGGTATTAATTTCTCTATGTTACATCATTTTTAGAGTAAGTTTCTCTCATTCCCCATTTTGTATGTTCAAACATTTTTTGTGACGAACTTGGTTTTATGATTAATAATTAATAAAAAAGTTAATGCTCGATGTATTCTATTGAAGTTTGCCACATATATGTATATGACTGTATGTGTGTGTATATATATATATATATATATATATATATTGTTTTTATAGATTTGATTTACAGTAAAAGATTAATCTTTGATCCATTTGCACCTGATGTAGTTTGTTCATTATTATTATTAGATTATGATTGTTTGATTGTAACCAAGTTCTAAATACTGTGAGGTTCCAAAGGAAATATTTATTGTTTTTCTATTATTGGCTGATAATTCCTGTTTCACCCTGAACTTATTAATCTATTTAAAAGAACATCAAATTTTTGTGAGAAAGTTAACTTCCAGGGGGTAATGATAACATCATTTACTCTAGAATTATGTTTCTTTGTTTTTAATTACAACTACTTATTAAAGTTATAAAAGCAGATACTGTAATTAAAACTAGGTCACCTCAGTGAAATTGGTTGACATCATTGTTTTGGTTTTTGAGTTGTCATGTAATAAAAAAGAAGCAGAAGAAAGAAGAACAAGAAATTTAAAATTTTAGCTGTGATATTCACACACACATTCCCAGAACTTGTTACTGAAACATTACATAGATGTTGTTATAAAAGGAAACACTGTATAGTACTGTAAAGTTCTGATGACCTGTTAAGGAGATATTTAGAATACCATTTCAAAGAACAATCCAAGCCATCCCTACATAGGCAGTGCTACTGCCTGCCTGATATGAGTCACACATGAAAAATGTATACAAAAATACCATCAGTATTCAGTTAATCCCACTAATTGCTGCTAAGGTGCACTATGTATTTTACATAGAAAATAAGTACTTTCATCTAACTGATTTGGCCTATTCTTTTAATACATTTGAGAGTTATAACAGGTGAAAATATAATTTACTCAATATGATACAATGTGTGGATCCCCACTGGTAGTGAACAATATAAAAAAATTGGTTATTTGAGAATTAATAAAAATATTATTTTGAAAATCAAAATAAATCAGGATTATCAACCTATATTTCAGAGTGCATGATAAATTAACTGATAGGGAAAGGTTAGAAAAAATTTGCCAATTAAAAAGAACTCTGTAAGAGTTTATTGCTAGTTACAATGTATACTTCATTAGATTCTTTAAATTTTGTTGTATTCTTAAGTGTTATATGATTTTCAGAATGGAATAGCCAAGATGCAAAGCTATAAGTTCCTCCCTCTGATTTACCAACTAGCTGCAAGAATGGGGAAGATAAATCAACAATCAGTTGCTGACTTCTGCTCTGTACTTTTTCAAGTAGGACTTTTTTCATATATCTAAAGATTTTACTGATATGTAATAAATAGAAAATGTTTTAAACACATACAAATCTGTTTGTTCAGACAAATGACATTTTTTTTTCCTGCAGCAAACAACTGGTTTTTAAGATATTGTTTACAAACTACTCTTAATTGTACCATTATAACTTATATCAGTAATGCATATATATCCTTCAATTTATTTTAAAAAAAGACCTAATTATTTCTAAAGAAGATTTATCATTCTAATTGGTATAATTGTCAGATTTTATATCTGGCCCGGCATGGCCAGGTGGTTAGGGCGCTTGATGCGCAATCTGAGGGTCATGGGTTCGAATCCCTGTCACACCAAACATGCTCGCCCTTTCAGCCGTGGGGGCATTATAATGTGATGGTCAATCTCACTATTCATTGGTGAAAGAGAAGGCTTAGTGTTGGCGGTGATGACTAGCTGCCTTTCCTCTAGTCTTACACTGCTAAATTAGGGACAGCTAGCGCAGATAGCCCTCGTGTAGCTTTGCGTGAAATTCGCAACAAACAAACAAACAAAGTTTTATATCTTTTATACTATAAGTTAGTATCTTGATAACTCCTAATGATTTGCTAAAAGCTTTTTGATATGTTTTCTTTTTGTAGTTGATTGAAAAAATAACCTTAGATCACCCTTTTCATGCTTTGCCCGTTATCTTTGCACTGAGTAATGCAGAGAAAGATACCACAGATGGACACGCTTTCAAGTTATCTGGATGCCAGGGCAGCCAAACAGAGAGTGATGTGAGTAAAAATTAACTTTTGTTTTTTATGTGTGAAAGAGAGGAAGTAAATTTTTCTTGGATTTTTTTAAGTTTGAAAAATGTATTAAAAGCTAACAAATTAGGATTTATAAAGCTTAGTAATGTTGAGCAACAGTTTATGTTATAGAAAGTTTATTGTTAAAGAGAAGAGCACATTCTGACATATTCATTTTAATGTGTGTGGTTGACTAAGCTCTTTATTGTTTATTTTATTTCAAGAAAGATAAATTAATTTTAATTGCAGCTGTGTAGTTGTGGGTTTTGTAGACTGGTTCTAGGTAAATTGAGAAGTATTCACAATACATCTCAGTTTCATCAGAAGAGAGTTATTTTATTAATTACAGTTTGTAATTGTATATTTGATTGTTTTAAGTATTTTAATTATTTCATGAGAGTTTGTAATTGGTTACTGAATATGCACAAGTACATGAATATTTTGAAGTCATAGGATTTTTAAATTTACATTCCAGATACTTGAAAAGACATTTTAGTATTATTATTGCTCCTGAAACTGAGTTAAACATTATTCTTTTACTAATTAGTTGTTCAAATATATAACACATATGATGAAATGATGTCGTAGTAACTCCTGAGAATCAGTGTTAATAAATTTGTGTGAGTACTTAACAATTCATGTTATATATATTGCAGGAGCTATTCTGAGAAATTTCCACTTATTGGTCTTTTATGATTTATTTATTAAAGTTCATGATAATTGGTGATGTATACGTAGCCCTATCAGCTTTTAATGTTAACTGTTTGCCTGGGATTTGATATAAAAATATATAAAAAATTTTTTATATAGAAATATTGTACAAACAGTCAACTATAATTTTATCTTAGTTTTATATTTTTTTATGATGAGAATAAAAGTATTACAAATAAAACTGTAGTAATATGTAACTTAATATTTTATTTCTATACAGTGATTATGACATTTTACTAAAGTAAGGATTTAATTTTTGATTTGTTGATAATTGTTTAAACCATAGGTTTTAAGTACTTAGTTATTAAAGGATAGTTAATTTTTTATTGTAGCTTATATGTTGTTTATTCTTTTTAAACTGCCCCAGGAAAGAGTACAGGCAGCTAAAGCACTGCTGAGTAGACTGAAGAAGAGTTCTATTTCTGAAATTGCCACTCAAATGGAAGTACTTTGTGAAGCATATATTAATCTGGCTTACTTGCCTATCCCCCAGCAAAAACTGAAACCTCGTAAGCTTCATTGTAGCTTATATTTTTTCATGTTTATATATTACTAGTGGGCTAGAAGAGTCATGAAGTCTTTGGAAATAACTTGTATTAACTGAAATATTTATATTTTCCTCTTTTTAATTTTGTTGCTACATAAGTGTTGTTTGAAAATTTTGATTTTCTGTTTAATTAAATTGATGTGCTGTGCATAAAAATGGCTAAAATTGGTTTAAGTGTTTGTTTTTATTAAATAGAAAATGAAAATTATGTCTAAGTTCAATCTTTGATAAGGTAGAAAAATTTTAGAAATTATTTATAACCAGACAAACTCATTGATAGTTCTAGAGATAAACTTTAATTTACTTTTTTTTGTTCATTAATCTGTAGGCAGCATAAATAAAATTCCTACAGATCAGCTGATTGTGAAGATCAGGAACCTTCATAAGATTCCTCCTCTAACACAAGATATACAGGTGTGTGTCTTAACAGCATAGATCTTTGTCATTATGGAAATTAAAGTATACATTAAATTTAACTTGGAAGGTATACTGTTTCTCAGAAAGAAATTATGATTCATAGTATACCAGACAAAAACCAGGTAACTGAGGAAAAATAATAGTCTTAGCCTTTGATGTACATCTTATTTACTGTATTGTAACACAGGTTTAATAAGTATGTTTAAATTTAAACTTTCCAACCTTTATGGATTGTTTTTTGTGTGTATGTGTATAGATTGACATAACATTTATGTGTGAATTTTGGATACTCTGAATATATTGTTTTATTCACACATTACAGTCTATGCTTATTATTACATTTTCTTAACTTCAAAGAACACAGAAAGTTGTACACAATCTAAGGTAACATTAACAATTTACATATCCAAATGCCTTGCTCCTGGTCATTCTATGATCTGCTATTACACCAGTTTAAAAGCTGTAACCCTCTTATTTCAGTTAAAGTGTGGTTATTTTCAAGTGCAGATGGCATCTAAAATTGACCCCTTCTGGGAATGTTACGTTACAGCATTTACCAACACAAAATTCTCCACTTTCACAATTATAAAAGCATGCAAGACATGAAATTTTAGAGTTTCAAAGAAAGGGATATTTGTAGTGTTAAATCATATTGGTAAAGCAAGAGAAATTATGCTTTCAGCAGGAAAAAAAAGAAGCTTTTTCATGATTGACTTCTGACATGCATGAGGTATTAAAGAAAGTTGCTTGTTGCTGAAAGTAAGCCAAGAAAACAGTAGTCTGTTGCAACAGAATATGAAGTAGGAACTTCCCTTGGAACTGTAAATGAGATAATGTATATTGATTTTGGCATAAAAGCAAACACATTAGCCAGGTTCACAGCTTTCTTTCAAAACACATAACTGAAGAGAAGACCAACTCTTGAGATATACAAACATCTAGCATATGACAAATGAAAGTATGTAAATACACTGGGTGAAGCATGCATCTATTTAAGTAGCTGCAAAATTCTGGTCTATTTAATATTGCCCTACCAGTAATAAAACATGTTAACATGTTCACTGCAGAGGATACATGTGTATAGTAAATAAAAAATGTAAATATCACATGTTTTAGATTTGTTATTATTTTAATTGGAAAATGCAATGATATTGTACTAAAACTCTTATCTGCACATGCCATACATGATACCAAGCATCACAGCAGTTGATGTGTTAAATATGGTGTACAACATGTCATCAAAGTTTTTCCAAGAGATTTATGGAGATTGTAGCTTACAGCTATAATTGTAAGTTAAACATTCAAAGAGTTGATAAAAATGCTAAGGTAAAAGGGGTAATATTCCATCTTTTTCTACACTGTAAATTATGCTTCATCAAGACAAAGCTTCAAGCCAGAGTGTCAGTTCTTTCACAAGATTCAAATACAAATAGAAATTTATCTATACCTTTCACTGATAACTCTCATGAACATCTGTGCCTTTGGATTGCTCAAATGGGCCCTCAGAAGTCATTTTCCACACCAGGTTAATGGATTTGGAAAGTATGGAAGAAGAGTGGTACAGCATTGGTTCATTGTATTGGACAGAAATGCCTTGCAGTGGAAATTGTACTGCAAAGCAATAGTCCACAACAAGGGTCATTGCATACAACACCATTTGTAGTGGAAGAAGAGGTCATAACACTCGTTCTTGTATCATTACCACCTCTTTGTATTGACAGAACAATTTTTGTTATGTGAGGAAAGAAGTAATGAAAAAAAATCATTAACCAAAAAACTAGCTAAAGTGAAAATCCAATTATGACAGTTTTTCCATTTTAATAGTAGTTTAATGGCTGATGGATTGAAAATCTGTTAACAGTACTCTTACTAGATTTACAGTTTCCTGGAATTTGAGAAAAATTAAAATAAGTGCAATAAATTATGATATCCTATTGTTTTACATTGCTATTTTGAAATTCATTTGCTATTCTGTTGAAGGAAGTTTAATGTTACAGTTTATGTTTCACAGGCTTCTGTGGCAAAGGAACTTTACATCATAGAATGTGATTTAATATTCTGTCTTATGCTTATATATAAATTTCTTATTACATTTCAGGTTTTTAGATCTTACACCCAAAGTTGTAAACTTTTTCCTAGTGTATTGAATGTTATTTAGAAAAGAAGTTTATAAGGTTGGTTGAAAGTGGCAAGTCACTCAGACCAGTTTTCATCTTTTGTTTTTTAGGTTGATCGTTCTTGTAAGTATAATAATCTGCCAGGAATACGAGGGTTTGAAGGAGAATTTCGTCTCTGTGGTGGAATCACTGTTCCTAAAGTTATTTTTTGTAACAGTACAGATGGATTTCAGCACATCCAGCTGGTCAAGGTTCAAGAATGTTTTATTGTTTATAATATTGTTATTTTGTAAAAACTTAATAGTTATTAGAATTTTCTCTTCTTGAGTGAGGTTTTTCATACATTTCATAGGAGAAGCACATTTTGAAACTTCAGTAGTTTATTCATTTTGGATTACTGTATGTATGAAATATTATGAAAAGTGGTTTGTTTTAGTAATAAGTATATTTAGTATTAATTTCTATGGGCTTTACATGGAATGTCAAAACTTGGAGAGAGTTGAATGTAAACAAAAGTAATATTGTAATCAGTAAATATATTTATGTGCTTTCAATTGTTATAATGAAACAGTAACTAGTGATGTACTTATCATTAGATATATGTAACAGATGGTGAGTTATCAGTTGAAACTATGTGTTCTTGCTTTGTAATATTTTTTGTTTTTGTTTAGGGTGGGGATGATCTTCGACAAGATGCTGTAATGCAGCAAGTTTTTAGACTAGTCAACTGTTTACTATGGAAAAATTCAGAAACAAGAGGTCGAAAATTGAGTGTTCGCACATACAAAGTAAAGTTTTAACTCTTACTTTAAATAATTACTTTTACACTAACTAACTAACACTTTCTCAATTTTTAAGGTACTCATACAGGTAGGCATTTTTATAAGTACTTTCTTTAAATGTTTGCAATAAACTATTAACCATATTTCTTAGAACAAGAGTAGTGTGTATATAGATATATATATTAAACGTATTGTAAATGTTTATAATGGTTACTTTCACTGAGTTACTTTTTAATGGGTTGTGGGAAAAAACTGTTTCATTAACAAAATATGTGTTAGTTCTTTTAAACCCAATTTTTAAGTTGTATATATGGTCACCCACCTAAATGTATACATTAATTTATCACCAAGGGTTGAAAGACATAAGCATGTATTTTATATGTGAGCTCAAAAATAAACATTATGTATTATATATGGGCTCATTAAGATAAGTGAATGTAAATTTAGTCTTGGTAATGTTAATTTCATAAGGTGGTTCCCCTGTCTCGTCGAAGTGGGGTATTACAGTGGTGTGAGAGAACTCAACCATTTGGTGAATACCTAATTGGAAAAGATGGTCAAGGAGGAGCACACTTAACATACTACCCCCAAAGCTGGACAGCATCAAAATGTAGAAATGAAATGAGTGTAAGTGGTGTCTACAATGATTAATTTTAATTGTTTCATCTGTTTATTGCCTAATGAGACTTGTCATATTCCTTTGTAAAAATATGTGGTTATTTATTGTCATTCTAGAATTAAATTAGTAAATGAAGGTGTAATTTGAAACACATTTAAAATTTACATAGATAACTTTGGATAATAATTGTCAGGAGTAATCCACATGAGGAGAATGGTAATATAAGTTATCTTAACTCATACTCCTCTCTTGAGACTTTGAGTGTATTCTTTGTTGATTCTGTGAATACTATTACTAAAAATTCAGTAATTATACATTAAAATTAAACTGAAAATATTTATGTTGTATGAATAAAGTATTTCATCCTCACATTTATTACAATAACATTTCTCGAAAAAAGTATTAGATTTTAAAAGGTTCAGATATTAATAATGAAATCATTTTTTTATTAGTAATCAGTTTTTATTAGTGTTAATTGTAAAGGTCTTGTTAATATATACTTCTATTGCAATTTTAAAAGTTGGAGCTTAAATAATATACATACACATACATGATCTTTCTTAACAGAAGGCATCACAGAACACAGCAGAAGAGAAACTGAAAACATACCTTAAAATTTGTCAAAATTTTCTGCCAGTTTTTCGTTACTTCTTTTTGGAGCAGTTTCCTGAGCCTGCAGTTTGGTTTGAACGTCGTTTGGCTTATACTCAGAGTGTAGCTACATGTTCAATAGGTAAGAGAAACTATTATAAGATAGGATGTAAACCTTATATTATTATACTAGAGTTTTAAAATACAATGTTAATTGCATATTATAAGAACAGTTGGTATAGGCTAATGCAGTAGCTATCTATTCAAAATGTTCTACAGATGTTCTGTATGTTGTGCTGAAATAGGTGAACCCCATAGGGACTGGTAACTTACATATCCATTTGAAAGTGAAACAGCTGCCCTTAATGTTGCTGCAATTCCTTTTCATTTTGCAGTTCCTGTGAAAAAAACTATTCAAGGTCTACAAAACAAAGGGTTGGCTGGTTCCATTAGAATACAGACTGTTAATATTCCTAAACCTGCTTATTAACACCCTTCTAGTTTAAGTTTGACAATGAGGATACACTGTAATAAATGATGATGTTGTTTTATCTTTACCTGCAGATAAATTATTACAAAGAAGGTTTACTAAAGGTTCTGAATGACTGAAAGAAATGTGTTAAAATAACTAAAGATCCAACAAAATCCACTGAACACAAGTTTACACACTTAAGAAACTCACACAACTGAATATGCTTGCCCTTTTAGCCATGGGGGTGGTACAGTGTGATGGTTTATACCACTATTTGTTGGTAGAGTAGTCCAAGAGCTGGTAATGGGTGATGTTGACTAGCTACCTTCCCTCTTAGCAAACAAACACTTATATAACATTTTAAAGTTTAAATTACTTCCTGTTTCACCAATATAAGCTTCTCTACATTATTGCCATGGAGAAATATAGATGCCCCCTATTCTATCTTTGTGTATGGTTTTGTTTGAAGTACCCCAATACTATTGAAAATAATGTGACTCTTCATGCTAAAGTGTTTCCTAACCATCTGTATCCTAAAGGAAATTGCACAATTAGATACTACTTAAATAGTGCAGGCAAAGTTTTTCTCAAAAGAACTGAAGAGGACACATGAAAGCGTTGAAACTAGTTTCCTAGTCTTTTTATTAACATTTTGTTCAACAGTTTGGTTTATTTTTTACTTTAATTTAGCTAACATACATGATATTGTGCATTTTACACTAATTTGTGGATTGGTTTATTTCAAAGGACATTCCTTATGTGAGGAGAGATTCATGTTTTCTGTATATCTTTATAACTTGCATATGTTACTGAAGCTGTTGAAAAATCTCTAAGTCTTCAGAACCTGATTCTAGACTGAGAAAATATTATGTTGTATACATAAAACTATAACATTACACATTCTGAGGGTGACTACCACTTCTAACTTACTGTTCTTTCCATTAGGAAATAAGGGAGGTTGTAACCTTGAGATATCACTTAAAGTACTAATGGAGAAAACTGCTGTCTACTTTCACATAAGTAAAATTAATAATCCCACCATACAAGTTGTAATTCACTTGGTGAATATGTAGCTCACATTACTGTATTGAATTACGTATCACACAAGCTACCTGCAAGCATATTTTGTGGGCAAGCTTTATTATTAATATTTTCTCTTATGCAATTTAACCTAATAAATTTCTAATAGTTACTCTTATAACAATAAATATAAATATCCATGAAAAACAAAATAATGTAGTACTTATGTTTGACATTTTTTTTTTTGCTGATTGTTGCCTATGAAATTTAAGACAATTTTTTTTTGTTATAATCATGGTACTAATATACTAAATAATGTTTATTTATTTAAATAATACACCTAAGAACTCAGAATGATAACATGCTGAATTTTAAGAATGTTATATAAATATAATTTAACTGGCTTTCTAACTAAGGAAGAGAGGCTTTAAATAATTCCCATAGCTACTCAATTTGAACATCACGAAATAAATTTTCAAACTGAAGATGAAATAGACAGTACCCTCTACTGCATCGTATGTCATTTGATAGATTAAAACCCTTTTATTGTTCATAAATGATGTAAAAGGTTAGAGAGAATTACTGGCAATCTGTGAAAGACAGAATGTGACAGGTGGGCATGGCAACTGGGTCTGTTTTGCTAGTTTATGACTGTAAACAAAGAAAAATGGAAAAATTATATTGCCTTATTAATATTTATAGTATAATGAGTAGATTACATTAGATTCCATAATTCAGGGAGAAATTACCTAACAGGAAAACAAAACAGTGATACAAACTGTTTGACATCCTAACAGCAAAATGGTGAGCAAAAAATAACAATACAGAATGACCCATTATAAAATTAACATGTATAAACTACAAATTGGGCCCTTTAACTCTCTCAACATGGGCTCAATCAATTTGACCTACCACATGACCTTTTTGTACTCATTCAAAGTATTTATATATTTGATACTACTAACTTTTAAAACAGTGTGTATACCTTCATGAAAATTGGCAGACATTCACTAAACATTATAAATTATAAGTCTTTCACATACAAAAAAGCATACTTTTTTAGTGAAGTATTTTTAATAAACTAAAAAAACTTTGTCCATGAATATATTGAGTATTTATTTTAATAGTCCTTATGCAAAGTGATTTTCATGTTAAGATTAAAAATACTTTTCTTCATCTCAAAAATCTAAAATTTCCTTTGTGTAATCTCTAAAACCTCCTACATATATTTCAAGTGTCTTTTTTCAGTAAAAGTTTATATTTTATTTGTTATCTTCTCTACCCTAACTGTATACATGGTTGGTCAATTTGACTGACCTCATAACTGTACAAAAAAAAAAAAAATCGAGATAAATCTAAATTACCCTCAATTTCTTTTTAGAATGACTTCAAATGTAATATGAAACTACATTCGTTTATCCTAAATAGCTTTAAACTCGTAACAGTATGCATCTATTTATAATTACATTTTATTGTTTGATTGCCCTTTGAACCATGTTTAACTACTAATTGTGCCATTATAAGTTGTAAATCACTTGGGGAATGTGCAGCTCATGTTATGCTGTTGAATTACATTACCCACAAGCTACTCCGAGCTGGTTACATGCGTGCCTCATGAAATATCTTTATGATATTATTATTATTATTTGCTTTACCTAATATAACCTTAACTAACCTAAAGACTATTTTTACATTTTATTTACTTTTATAATAATAAATAAAAATAAACATGAAAAACAAGAAATAAAGTACTTATACTTTTTTTTTTTGCTGTTGACGATCGATGACACTTAATATTACTTTTTTATACTAATGGTAGTAGTGCATTAAATAATTTGTATTTAATTAAATAATGCACCAAAGTACATAGAATAATAACATGCAAAAAGCAGACAATTTTTTCTAACAATCACACTTTTTTAGGCTTTCTAACTATGCAACAAGAGCCATTACAAAATTCATCCAAGCTAGTCGTTACCGTTCCCATCAAACCTGTACTGTAAGTGAAATTGAGGATTAACTGTTCAGAACACAACGTAATATAATATGTCATTTGATAGATGAAAACCTTGGCTTTCTGTTGGCAATGGGTAATATATAATTAAACGTAAGAGAGAAGTCTTAACAAATCCTGAAAGAGAGGATGTGGCAGGAGGGATCTGATTTTCTATTTGATAGCTCTGTAACCAAACAGAGTTGAAGGCCATAAAAAATTATCGCTTGTCTAAGCAATGATGATTTTATAGTGAGTAATTTAGTGGATAAAATAGAGAAGAGGATATACATAGAGAAAATATGTCACACTAGGGGAAATTCAAGATTTTTTGAAATATTGCCTTATAAAATTAAGAACTTAAAACTTATATATTATTAAAATATGGATTATTACCTAAGATTTTATGCTATACTAATAACATAAACGAAAAGTAGTTTAATAAAATTTTGAATGTAAGACACTAAAACCTTGTGTCATGTGCAGTAAAGGATACCCATGGTGATAGGGTTAAACAAAATCTCACATTAAATATACTAAAACAACATTTAACATGGATTCATTCCATATTACGCAACTACTCCTTAAACAGTGCGATCATTTTTCAAAATTACTTTATAGATATCCTAAGCAAATAGAAATTAATACTTTATATCACAATGGCAGAAAAATATGAATGAATCCTGCATCAGTGAAATCAAATTCAGCTTTTTAAAATAAAGCAAACACAAAATTGACTAAACATAAGAATACCCTTTGACACAGACTTACAGATATAAAAACCATGTGCGAATATTCTTTTTATTTCTCAGTCAATAATACTGAATACAAATTTCAACAGTACATGAAATGGTAATATCATTAATACAAGGTGTGCATATCTCATCATCGTAGTCGATATGATATGTATCTACATGTTGATGCCGCAATACGATACGTACCAAGATACATAAGTTTAAGAAAAAATTGATATTGCTCGCCTACGAAATATATGCTGCACCATATGAGCAAAAGGCCAAAGATTTTTTTCACATCTGCAGCATTATTAAGTGGATACTATAAATATGAGAAGGGTGTATGTTTTAAATAGACAAGCATTGAGCCCACTATCACTAATAATGGAAATGGTGTAATATTTTATTCTTCTAGTGGGTAAACTCGTTCTTTGTATATGAAGCATATTTAAGCTTTAGGCCTAATTGTCGATTTTTAGGTCTGTATTGAGATAGTTGGAAATGTATACTAGTTTTATAAAATAGGGAACTTTTAAAATTGTGGTATCATGAACTGTATAAATCAATTGCCATCAATTATTTTGCTGTAAATTTCTTGTGTGTATATGTGTCTAAATTGCATCTGAAACATGTAATTGCCTTATTTCACACAATGTGTTAACTGTGGAACATCGAATGAAGTTGTGGCAGTGATTATTAAGGCTAATTGTCTTAGATTATGCAGTGAGTAAACTTGTGCTTCACATATGATAGGTCTAATTATGGATTTTTAGGTGTCTGTTGGAATTTGTATTCAAATGTAATAGTATTGTGTTACTTATAAACCATAGAAAGGTAAAGAGTTAATGTTTTTCCTTGCATGTTTGTTTATGTTACTGAAATAATTGTTTTTAAAGCTAATGTTGTAAACATTATAGTTTTGCACTCGTATAGAATAATGCATGTTAAATATTGTTCACTTTTGTCTTGACTTTCCTTCTTTGGGTGTGTTTTGATACCAAAGCTAAAAGTTTCATAGGTTTGCAAGAACCATGAAACTGTAAACATTTCTTTTTGCACCAGGAAACAAATAATTACTGGCAGTATTCAGCCAAACTAAGATTTTTCAGCTAAAATTGTCATCAATCATATTCTTACAACAGCATATGTCAGTTCACACTCAGAATAACACAGTTCTCTCACTGCACATGAAGAAGATATATACTGGTAAATGTATGGGGTAGAATCTAGCGAGGATTGGGTGGTTTATTCTGTAGAACTTGTGCCACTTGGCCAGACCAGGTGAGTGGTTTTGTCAAAATATCAAATATTAATCAGGATGCTATTGGTTGCAGCCAACTATCAGACCTGTCTCTTGCCTCTAACTCTAGCATTTCCTCTTCTGACTCATCATAAACATCCAAATAAGTACTTTCGGCACTTTCTTTTTAATCAGCTTAGTCAATGTGATACGAGGTGGCATCCTCACCCTCCTCTACCTTATCACTCTCGACCTCTGATTCCTAGTCTAATCAGTGCACAGAGGCTTATCTGTAATGTATGGACACAACTTAATATTGAATTGTTCTGTACACTTTTGTGTGCCTAGCATAAACTAACTCGTATATTAATCTGTTTTTCACTACTTTTTAATAGCACTTCTTCTGGTGTATGGTGGCCTTTTCTAGTTGTTGACATCTAAGCTAATGCAGACCTTAACCATTCCACATATTTTTGTGGATATTGTGAAGTGCCCACTTGTGAGGGACATCATTTCCACAGGGAGCAGGACCTGCTGATCTCTATTCAGTTGCTCTGGACACCATTGTAATGTATGGTTAGATCTCGTCCAATTCACTTCTGCCCGAAGGAGCAAATTTTGTAAGCTTGGTAGTTTGTATTACCCATTTTGATAAATTATTGAACTGTGGGTATTGTAACAAAGTAAACATTTTCCCCACATCTAACACTACACAACTCAAGAGAACATTTGGCTGTTGAAATTATCTTCCTGATCTGAACTGAGCTGTCCAGTTCTCTGCCAACACATCAGTTACAGACTGTGCCAAAATATAGACCAATGGATAAGCATCGGTCCATGTTGTGAAGTAGTCGATGGTGACAGGTATGTACAGATTTGTTTTTCTCTGGGAGTGGACCAGCATTATCCAGCACTATCTTTTAGAGGAGATCTAACAATTCGTTGCAGGTGTTTGTCTTCTTTTGGATGACTCTTTCCCTAGGCAAAACACACAGTACAATGTGCAAGTCTGTGCTGGACATCTAGATTCAACGATGGCAAGTAGAACTGTCGTCAAATGCTAACACACGTACACATCACACCTTGGTAGTCTCCATTATTAGCATTATGGAAATACTGTAGAATTTTGTGCTATATAGCTCTGGGGATCACTAGCTGCACCATAGACTGATAAACATGACTCAGTGGTTGATAACAACTATAGAATCTTGTGCCTTATAGCTCTGGGGATCACTAGCTGCAGCACAGGCTGAGAATAATGACTCAGTGGTTGATAACAAGAGCACAACACACCTTTTTGCATTCATAAATGACCATACAACTGTAAAGATTAATGCATCTTTATTTTGTTCCTCTAGCTATCCTTCCCAAACTTCATCTTACTGAATGACAAGGAGCACCCAAGCTAGGGTCTGGGACATTTCAGTGCTCTTCTTGGAGTCCCAAAAATTTTAATTGTGGCATTTATCTACTAGTGGAACCTCTTACTATATAACCTGACATTGCTATGGCAGAAATGGTTTCAGTTTTCACACAGTAACCAGGTTCAGAACTTTCAATGAATTACAGGGTTGAACAGTGCAATGAGACAACTTGCCAACATTTTCATGTTGATAGTACACTATGAAGAAGTCATATTCTAGCAACATTTTTATCCAATATGCTATCATTTCTCTTTTGGATTTTTTAAAGCTAACAAAATACTTCATTGAAGCATGGTCCACCTGGATGGCGACCTGGTTTATTTAAGCTGTACTATACTATGTTGACAGACTACTGATGATGAAACCTAGATAAATCTTTTGGAATGTTTTTTTTTTCAAAAAGAAACTTTTAGTTGGTTAACTCCAACTGTATCTTGTTTGCTTATAGATATTAATTAATGAAGTATTTTCTTTGATACACCAGGCTTTCATACTATTAATCTACAACTTTCTTATAAGTAGAGCATACTTCATATTTGAGCATCCATTCTGTATCTCTGTGATGACAAATTTTAAAGCGATTCAGCCCTAAGAAAATATTTAACAATAGACCTCAGATTACAACTTGTTCCAGAGCAGTAATTTTTTTGGAAATATTTCCATTATTAGAATCATCATAATAGTGTTAGATTGAGTGTATTCTTCAAATATTATGTTGGTATAACAATATTATTAAATGAGTAATGTAAGTTGCTTTGAGACTAATTAAATTTTTTACCCAAACCAGTTGGTCACATCCTGGGTCTGGGTGACAGACATGTTCAGAACATACTTATTGATAAAAGTACAGCTGAAATGATTCATATAGATTTAGGTAAGCTTTTTCCACCAACTGTTAAATGTATTGTAGTATTTTTCTTTATAATAATGACATGGTCACCAAACATTGTTAATATTCAAAATTTTAATAAATATACATATTTTACATGTTATAATATTAATATTCTTATTATAAATTGTGTTGTTTGTCAAAATATACAGTGAACTACAAAATAATGTGAAGCTTTTAAAACTTAGTACAAAAACCAGCAAGTGCTTTATCTGTTGGATAATTTAAATCTTAGTGTACATGGCTTTCTGCAAATGGTTTTAAACATTTTAAAACATCAAATGTATTAAAGTTTAAAATCTGTGCAACCTGTATATCTTGTATTGGAAATTATTTATAATCAGAATAGGAAATGTATACATATATAGTGTTTTCCGGGTCTTCTATTAAACTAATTGCATCTTGTATAAAGTTATTGAGCACCCTTTTGTATTCAGTTGAAACAATTTTAACAATATAAAAGAAATGTTTTACATTTATTTATTGTTTAAAATATTCTTGCTAATACAAATACTTACATGTGAAAACTAATATGAAAAGTTACATAAATTGAAAAATATGCAGTGAAACTTCTATTGAGGGGAGGACTGTATGGATGAGTGTAAAAATATGAGAGTGAATTTTTTTCAGGTGTAGCATTTGAGCAAGGGAAACTTTTACCAACTCCAGAAACTGTTCCGTTTCGTCTAACAAGAGATGTTATTGATGGAATGGGTGTTAGTGGTGTTGAAGGTGTATTTCGGAGGTAAGCAATTTTTTTTCCTTTTATTTGGAGGTGGGGCAAAAAATGGGCTAACTCCGAGTTCATCTGCAATATATTAGGTGAAAATATTCAAAATGTGCTCTCTTTATTTTGACCTCAGGTTATAGTTATATATTTAATTTGTAGTTTTGGTGATATGTTGTATGTTTTGCTTAATAGACAAACATTTCTTTACATGCTGTTTATGATTTTTATGGTACAGTCTGTTGTTTTACACGAAGAACATTTGTTATGTATTTTATCATCTGCTGAGATTTTACTTCTTGTCTCTGTATAGTGCAGCATCTTCTGTGGGGTTTCTGTTAATGTAAAAAGTGACCAAACTAATGTAGTCTATATAATATTACAGGTGTATACCAAAGAATGTCAGTATAACATACATTTGAAAATGAATATTTCTTTGTATAGTCTTCAAACACAGACCTAAGTTACGCATATGGTATTCCTCATTTTATTCACTGAAAAAAGTGTAACAACTTATTTGTCAACATACAAGAGTCTTGATTTATCTTGTATGACCACCTGGGGCTAATTGTGAATTAGTTATTTTTTCAGTGTTTAATATAAATGTTTAATTAATTTATATCCTGAATTTAAGATTCTAATCTGCTGTCATCTTCAAGGAAGTCCTTTGGAGGTTGGAGGTAGGAGCCAGGATTTTACCCTGGGTCTTTAGAAAGTGTGGTGTGTTGCTGTTACACACTTGTATGGAGTTTTCTTAATGAAGACTAATGAACTATTTGAATGGTTTCAAGGTGGGTATATGCTGACTTCTATGCTAAGTGGATTGAGTATGTTATCAGTTATGTGGATATAGATGTTTTCTTTTTATTGTGAGTGGTTCATATTCCATTATTTTTGTGTTATACCACTTGATTCTCTGATCTTTGTTTCTGTTATGATGGACTATTCCACATAAGTCAATGTTATAGAATATTACATGTCTTTTATGTTCTTGACTTTTTTTGGTGTTTTTGTTGTCCATTTGGTTTTTAGGTGGTTTGATGTGCATTAATTTTGGGCATATTATGTTGTGGTGTTTAAATACTGTTCTGGTTTGTGCTAATATAGAAAGTTTTGAGTCAAATATTAGATTACAGGCTACTTTCAAAGAACAATGGAAGGTAATTCACAGGCGAAACATCAAAATTTTGTTAATCTTCATATTTAGTACAAGGAAACTCCGTGGAAATGCTTGAGTTCAGCAAACAGTTTGTATCCCCCCTTTTGCTTTAATAACTGCAGGCAGTCTTTCAGGCATTGTTGCAACATATTTAATCAAAATGTCTTTTGGTGATTTTACTCTAAATGTCTCTAATACACTCCTGTAAAATTTCTGTGGAAGTAACTTTTGATTTGTCAAGTTTTTGATCTATCAAATCCCAGATCTGCTCAGTTGGGTTGAGAGTGAGGCTTCATCATTTGAATGACTCCAGCAACTTCTGTCTTAGCTAAGTAATTTCTGCATAGGTTGGATGCGTGTTTGAGGTCATTATCTTTTTGGTAGTAGAATCCTTTACCAATAATACATAAACCACTGAGTATACCTTGATGGATCAGTATCTGATGGAACTTGCGCTGGTCCATTATTCCAACTATTTTGCAAATATCTATTGTTGCCTCAGCAGAAAAACACCCCCAAACCATCATATTGCCTCCCCCATGCTTCATGGTAGGTACTACGCATTGAGGTAAGTATCTTTCACCTTTCTTCTACCAGAAGTACAGCCTATGTTTTGTACCAGATATTTCAAACTTGGACTCATCTGTCCATAACACCCTTTCCCAGTGATCAACAGTCCAGTTTTTGTACTTTTTAGCAAATTTCAGTCTCCTGACAATATTTGGAGATCGAAGTAAAGGTTTTTTAGCTGCTACACGATCAAATATTCCATTCTTGTTGAGTCTTCTTAATACTGTAGATCTGGACACTTTTCTGTCGTTTGGTACATGGTTCTCTATCTCATGCTTGAGATCAGTGGCAGTCTTGCTTCTGTCCAGAAGGCTGCATAAACAAAGATACTTTACATCAGTATCATTGAGTTCAGGTATTCTGCCTCTTCCTTTCCTATTTTCAAATATACCTGTCTCGGTCTCACGATCTAGGGTGTACTTAACAGTGTTTGGGGTTCATTTCAAGTCTGCCGCATTCTGTTGGAGAGTCCAACCAGCATCATGTAAAGCTTTTATGTGAATTCTCTGCTCTGCTGATAATTCTCTATGCTTTTTGGGCTGTGGCATGACAACAAAACTTAATGTGTAGTGTTAAACACTGTTTTTATCAAGTTGTATTTGTAGAGTGTTATTAAATTAATTTCTTCTAGCATAACGGTACCATATACTAGCTCCTTGCTATCTTCTTTCTATATGATTAAGACACTGCATGGGGTACCATGAAAGTTATTTAAGACCCTAAATTTCATCAGTATGTTCATTCAAGCAGAACCCTTGTGACATGGCCTTGGTACAAGTATATGGGAATTCTAAAGAATGATAAGTATTCTCACCCTGGCTCATTCAATGTCAACAGGGATCAGTGAAGCATTACCATAATGTTGAAATTTACATTCTGTAATGGCATGGAAGAATTAGCCCATTAAATGGAAAGAATGACAAAATATTTTCTTTTCCTAACACTTTTACACAGTACTCTATGTTATCAGGAAGAGTGACAGTTGGGTACTTTCCTTTAGAGTCCTGTAATTTTCAAGTGTTGGCAGAATTTTTACATTAGTGAATAGGTTAGATACATTGAAGCGAATCATTCTATCTAGTGAGTTTATTGTTGCTGTTTCTATAATCTATGAAGTAGAATGTGTTCTTCACATTTCAGGATGTTTTACTGATTAATAGTGACATATCTACAAGATACCTATCAAACAAGTGGCATGATGAGTCTCTGCAATTAACTATGAGATGAAGTGTGTACCCTTGCCTGTGAATATTAGGCATACTATTGATATGTGACGTAGTGCTATGGTTTACTGTCAGTTATTTGGCTGTTTCTTAGGGAGGCTGTTTTGAAGGCATTATCCTCAAAAGTTACATATATATACAAAAATCCCTGATATTGATAAATGTTTCAACTAGTGGTAAAACCACCCCAACAGTCTCCAGGATGAACAAGGTTTATAATACAAAAGATACTAAGAAGAAAGAAAAGCATATTACTACAAAATTCCTTGAATCTGGATACCCTGATCACTTGATAAACTAGAAGAAAATTACAGGCACACAGCTTTGTTCTCCTTTGTCAAAGCTCTGAAAGCATACTGAGTATTCAGAAGCCACAACACAATGTTATCACAGTTAATACACACAAAAACACCTGAAGACCCAATAAAGAGAAAACCAATAACATAATTTAAAACATCCCTTGTAAATGTGGATTCCAAAACATCAGGGAAATGAAATAACATTAAAAAAATTAGAAATCAGTAGCATTAATATACATACAATACACAATAATACTGAACTATCTGCAATAGCCTATCATGCCAGAGGAAGATGACTATAGAGTAAAATTAAATAATACTTAATAATGGAATATGAACCACTTTCAAGAAGAAAGAGAAAAGAAGCTTTCTACACTAGAGCAAATAAATAACATGCTTGGTCAACCTAACACAGAAGTCAGCAAAACCTGGATACTCATATTGAAACCATTCACACAACTGATTCAACTCTAAATTACGATTAAAACTCTGTATGAGTGGAAAGCACACTAACCCTGCTATTAAGAAGACCCAGGATTGCAAAACAGTCCTCTTCAGGACTTCTCTGAAGATAACAGAAGATTAGCTGCCAAAATGTGGATATAAACTAATTAGTAATTAGTACCTAGTAATAAAAGATAAAGAAAGTAACTAATTAGTAATTATAGGTAGGTGATCATATAGACTAATAACCAACAACAATTAATATCTGACTGTCAAATCCTTATTTTAAGTGTATATAAAATTATCTTGATTTCAGTGTTCTATCATTGAAAGCTATTACTTTCCTTGTCATTGCCCTGTAATGTATGAATTATGTTGAAATAGAGTAACTGACCAGCTAATAAGCTCATAAAAAATTGGTACATCAATGTATAACTGAAATTAAATCTATTTTAAACATAAATCTTAGTTGGGTTCAAGTGACAAGCTCAGTCACTAAGTCATTTGCTAGTAGCTTACATATAGTTCCTAATTTCTGGTTATCAGTTTATTCATTTAACAGAAAGTTGTAGCACAGGTACGATCATAGAACTCTGGCCAAGATTAATATATTCCTTGGAAGCATTCCAATTACTTGAATTTTAAAGGTGAAATTATGGCATTTTTAATTAAATAATTTTTGAGAAGAGTTATTTTATTCAAAATGTTTGAAAGCTTAATGAATTATTTATCTTGGGTTAAAGATTAAGTTCTCATCACAGCCGTCAAGAGATAATATGTGAAGCAGCATAAACTATTACATCATTTGTGTTATGACCTTTACAATAAAGAATAAGATATTGTGTATATAGCACTTTAAGCTGAATTTTTTATTTACCCTGTTGGATTGTAACAGACATGCATTAAATAAAATAAGTTGGACATAAACAAATTTTGAAAGATGATTATTTCAGTTTAAAATAATGGTTTCACATTCTCCATGTTAGTGTTTTTACCATAGTTACAATTAGACACTTACTGTTGTTAAGCTAAGTTTTAATGTAGCGATGTATGGTTAGTGGCACAAGTCTGAGTCATAAAGTTTCTTGAACGAGGAAGTCAGAAAGATTGTACTAAATGATAATGTAAGAAACATGCTTGAACTTTATGTTTAGTTAATCAGAAATAAAATTATTCATTTATTCTAAGCGATTATAGTAAGTTACACTCACTGGCGTACAGTGTGAATAAAAGAGAGAGCATCTACCTCAGTGTGAAAGTTTTGTTCCATGTATTTTGTGTTTACACTAGTTTGCTGAGTATTTTGATCTCTTTTAAAAGTTCAGTGGGATTATACAGCATCAAATCCTGGAATAGTGGACAATACTTTATGTTGAGATATTTACCTTAACCTTTCATAAATATATCAATAACTAACACAATTCAGTTTTGACTAACTCTATATCATAATACAAATAGGCTATTAACATCAGAAAAAGATATAATTTAAAATTAAAAAAATGTTTCTGTAAGTGTATGTAAAAAGAACATTCCCGTAAAGTTTGAAAAAAATGGTTAGATCATCTAAGATGACACTGAAAGCGACAATTTAAAGTATAACACAAGGAATCTAGTCAGAAAATAAGAACCCCATTCAGAAATGATTCTAATCTTATTAAGTGTAAGTATTTACAAATTAAGTATATTAACTTACATACTGCTATAATATGAGACTTTACATAGAGGCAGCAGATGAATGAATGCTGACAAATCAGATACCTATTTAGGAAGATTAAGAATACGTGACGTGTCAAAATAACCAGGTTTACCTAACTTGTGATGGATTTCAAAGCCTTTACAAATTAAAATGAAACTTTTTTCTTCAGTGAGTATCTGCCCACTTGTAGTTTTCCACACAACTTGTGGATCTTTTGTATGTATCTCGCACAGAACATGCTACTGGCTATTTGAGTAACCAGTTTATCTCACAACCTTTATTAACACTTCCTGTTTGAATAAATTGATTATATCTGTTCCACATCTTGCGTTTACTTTATTTTGTTCCTGAAGGAGTAATCATGTTTTTATTGATCCATGGTGTTATGTTACTCAGAAAATATCTTAAGTGCAAATATGTTTATTTCTAGATTATAGGATTTATGTTTGTATTGTTTTTCATGATAAGCATTCAGAAATATTTTAAATAACATTTGTTTTGATGAATTTTTTAAAATTGGCAAAGCTAATAACAAATTTACTCACATTGCTGAGTGAGCACAGAATAACATTTCTACATGGAAAATTACATCAAATGTTTGATTGTGATGAACAAAGTTAATTTTAATCTCTGATTACCAAGCTGAAAATAATGTTTGAATTCAACCAAGGATTATCAGTTAACACCAGCAAAGCTTTGGAAATTGGCATTTAAAAACAAAAATTGGAAGAAAAAAGAAATATTTGTAATTATTATGTATCCATAATAAGTTTTCAGTTTTTGGTTTTTCTTTCTAGATGCTGTGAAAAGACCATGGAAGTAATGAGAAAGTCACAGGAATCGTTGCTTACTATTTTAGAAGTTCTATTGTATGATCCACTCTATGTATGGACTCTAACTCCAACAAGAGCAATAAAAATTCAACATCATCATGAAGGTCTAGGTCTTGATGAAACAGAACTCATTCCAACACCAACTGGTTGTGGGTTTGAGGAACTTGGTGATTGTGGAAATCAAGGTAAATAGAGATGTAAAAAAGCTAATAACACATTTACTGATTTATTATTGTCTTCAAGATTAACATTTTATTACTCAAACAGTGTCAAAGCCCAGAAATAAATTTTCATAAAAGATCTGATTGTTAAATGTTGTTATTACCACAAAATGTTTGTGATGCAAAAGTGTTTAGTTCAAAAACACCTTTTCAAAAGTGATACCATGCAAGTTTTTTGTTTTTTACTTTGTGGCATGTTTATAAATTTGAAAATTCAAATATTCAAGGTGTAAATGAAGGCATAAAATAAAATATTGGACTCCTAAACCATGAAACTAAAATTAATTAACTACCCAGATGTGATAAGAAATCAGTTGCTTATTTATTGATTAATTTGCAAAAATTTTCAATAGAAAAAAGCATTGCATCATATTATTGTATACAGCTACCTAAGTTTACATGCTTTATTGTTGATTAAATTTGTACAATATGTTCCAGTTTTCCTTTAAACTTGAGGTTAAGCTATACTCTAATTAATGTATGTAGGACTTTTTGAATACAATATAGGAGAACTAGAGAACACATAAATGTTCTGTTGTTAAACTGTAGTGTGAATGTATTTTTTAAAATTTCAAAGCAAATGTTGATCCATAAACAGTATGAATTTTTAAAACAATAATAAGGTTAATTAAAGTTATTGTTTTGTATTACAAAACATATTAGACTTAAAGAGAGGAAGTGAAATACAGTGAAAGTTAAAAACAATTAGAGATATAAAATTTCATGAATAAACAGGTAAATGTAGGCTAGCATTGTGTTGTGCAAAAGATTTAACTCTATTCTTCAGTGTTCAGTTTTAACATACTCTGTATTACCTTAATATATTTATGAAGAGAAAGACCTGTATTAAACACAACTTTTAATATTTCATCTTAAGCCTTTTAAGCATATTCATGTTTGGATTTTGTCATATGAACCAGTGATGTGATGCTTTGGCTAAATGGAATAGCTCATGGTTACAAATAACCTTAGTAATTCATTATTAGGAAAACCTTGTTATTATAGCCTTTGTTGATGAACTAATAGTATATTTTGTGACACATACTTTCCTCCAACTAGGTTCTGGCTTACTGAAAAATTAGAAATTGATCCCTGTTATTATAAGAAACATTTTGACATGATTTATTTTAAACCAAATTTGCTAGTACATGTATTTATTTAGGCTCATCTTTTTTACTTCTTCAGAAGTGTGTGAATTATAATTTTTATTAATGAGAATACAATTTTAGATGCTTGTATTATTATTATTTACGTTATGGTGCACTGTTATTAAAGGATAAATTTACTAGACATTTGCAAGTTCTTACTTTTTAATCAGTGTTGTAGGAAAAGTATTAGCATATAAATAGCGTAAATATAATAGTGAGAATTATTTAGTATTTTGAACAATCTACACCAAATTTTCAAATTGTAGAATATTACTGTGGCTGAAATAATTTTAGAATATCCTTCAAACATCAATGTTAACATTTAGATCAGTTTGTGTTGAATATAATTAACAGTTGCCTGTAGTATTTTGTTTCAAAGATGATGTCTTATTATAAGTTAGCAGTTCACCACGTTAGTGAATATTTTTTTTATTAATGTATATTGCTCTCCATACATTTCTCAGTGATAATTACACAGTTTTGGTCTCTTGCATAGCATTTAATGAGCCTAATGTGCTCTATAAAATATGACCTTGCATATTACCAGTTGAAAGAACATACAAAATTTTTAATAATTGTTACTATGTTTTTTAAAAATGTTTTTGGTTTGGTAATACTTGTGATATATGAAATACAAATCTGAAAGGAAATGAGATTTAGACATTGCATAACTCAGTGTCATATACTCCAGAAGCCACAATAATGAGATTGCATAATAAACAGAATTACTGAGTTATTGAGTATAATGATATTTTTAACATATATGTATTAGTCTTTTAATTGTTATGTTCTGATATATCAGCCATTTTCATTTAAGATGGAGATTCATTACCAAACATTTAGAACATGCAAGCAATTGTAAACATAGGTGAAAGTAGTAGCAGTTGCATTGATAAAGAACACATAAGTGAAAGTAGTTGCATTGATAAAGAACACATAAGTGAAAGTAGTTGCATTGATAAAGAACACATAAGTGAAAGCAGTAGTAGTTGCATTGATAAAGAACACATAAGTTAAAGTAGTTGCATTCATAAAGAACACAAGTGAAAGCAGTAGTAGTTGCATTGATAAAGAACACATAAGTGAAAGCAGTAGCAGTTGCATCGATAAAGAACACAAGTGAAAGTAGTTGCAGTTGCATTGATAAAGAACACATAGGTGAAAGTAGTAGCAGTTGCATTGATAAAGAACTAAGAAAAAACTATATTGAAATTCAGTTTGGTTTTCACGACGAACATGAATGTAGCTTGGTGTATAAGATATATTGTGTTACAGTTAAATGTAAGTATAACAATACAATAGATGTTTTTAACATTTTAGGCTCAGTCGTGTAAAATGGCATGAATGGCCATTATTAAAAAGATGAAATCTAGTGCCAGTTATCATAAAGAATCTTTTTTATATTTGATTTCAGGTTTGGTGGAGTCTAGAGATGCATTTCAGTAGCAGTGAAATTTGGTTATAAAATCACGTTTAATGGTTGGTTAGGGTAACCAACAATAGATCAATTATTAATTGATTACTGATAACTGTTAATTTAACAGTCCTAAGTAGTTCATGATTTTGAGGAACGTTATCAAATATTTTCTTAATATAGGGGCATTTTCTTAATTAGTCTGGCTTTTGTTACTGTGGCATTCAGCATTCTCCATCAAGGTTGTATGACTTCTAATCTTTCCCATACATTAGCCAGTTGCAGGCACTCGTATGTTGTGGCAAAGTGTGATAACAATCTAATGGGTAAAGTGTAAAAGGGAATTTCCTTGGGGATTTCCACAGTGTGTAATTTAATGGCTGATCATGGGAACATTTCTGGATTGAACAGATTGTAAATTTTGCTTTTTTGTTATCACTACCTAATAATTGATCATCAAAATATTATCCACACTTGGTTAAGATAATAAAATTGCCAGTTTTTCAGTACAATCAGTGATTAGTCATACCACTACATTTCAGTTGATATTTTTTAACTCTCAGTAAACATTTCAGTTTAACTAGTGCTGCTCAGTTGTCTTATGTCTGCCACTTCTAGTTCTATCAAGTAATAGCTCTTAAAGAAACAGCTGTTAATACTGAAGTTGTTATTCTTTGTTTTACTTAAAATGGTACAAACACAATAGATTTGAAAAAGTTTTGTATACTATATCTGTATGTTAATGTGCTAAATTAAAGTCATTTTTTATACCTATAAGTATCACAACAATGGCAGTAGTCACAATATTTAAGTTGATGTATTATTTTTGAGTTTTCAGTATCATCCCAACCCAAGTTTGACTTATTTTAAAGTATCATTAAATTTGTTCAATACACTTGTTCCTTTTTAGGTGTAGAAGTAAACAAGCTTGCTGAAAGAGTTCTACTGCGACTTCAACAAAAGTTGCAAGGTGTGGAACAAGATGTAGCTTTAAGTGTGAATGGACAGGCAAATTATTTAATTCAACAGGCTCGAGACCCTCACAATCTTAGTCGTCTCTTTCCTGGATGGCAGCCCTACATATAATGACATTGAGTATAAATGTAACATGTACATACATAGTCCTTGAAATTTACTAATGTGATTATCCTTTATTTCCTAGGTGTATTCATATGTATATATAAACATGCTCAATGAGAACTTTTTAGATGTAGCCATATATATATATATCTAAACTTACCCATACACATTAATATTCATAATATTTTTACATAAGGGACAATATATAAAGGCATAATCACTAAAAACTTGTGATGTTGAACCTTGGAGTGCAAAATATTTTTTGTTTCAATTAGAGATAAACTTTTAGCTCCTTAAAAAGTGGTTTAGTTATGATTTTTTTCTAAAGAACCATTTCCTAGTGTTTCAGGTCTAAATACTTAAGTATTGTTGTAAATGATTATCATGATTCAGTAAAGAATTTTGTTTGTTGTCCCTGAGTATTACAGAAATTTTCAGTTCCATGCACCAGATCTTTTTCTTTAAAAATGTTTCATGAGAAAACCCTTACAACAACCACTTTAATGTTCTATAAAAAAAAACTGGATAACTTATTACATAAAAGCACTTGATTTATATTCTCAGTAAACAAGTTCTCTACTATAATAGTAACAAAATAAAAATCATTATTGTTTGAAATGTAAGATAACATATAATTGAAAATATGGTTAAAGTTGCCTAATGAAATTGAAATAGTTATTTATTACATCTTCTCCAACTTTGGTAATTCATTATTAATGTATGTACAGCATACATTTCCTTCAATTTCAAAGTACGAAGAATCTTTTTATGAACAGAAGTATGACATCAAAAATTATGCATACTTCAACGTATTTTTTAAACTTTCACAGTAATATGAAAAACACAAAAGCTTAAAAATTATTTTATCATCTTCTTCAGGAGAAATTAGGCACTTATGTAACATAATTTATAAATTGTATTTTTAAACATTTAAGTTTAGATCTAGACAGTACTCAGTGTGAATTATTGTTAAAATATTTTTGAAGTAACATTGCACAATGGATTTTAATATTACAAACAATTAATCAAAAGCCAGAGTGTTTTTGAAAAGCAATTACATTTTCATCAGAAGCAAAAATAAATGAAGCAAAAAATTCATGAATTTTTAAAGGGCAAGATCTTGATAAAACTGGTGTAGAAGATGCATTCATTATTCAGACATTAGTATCAAAATTTAGGTAATGATAACATAAAAAAAATATATACTAGTGTTAAAGAAATGAAGTTGTTTAAATATATTTTTTATTAATATTATTATTTCAATACAGTCTCCTATATAGGCTGTGTGAAACTTTAAAGCCATTCTTTGATATTTTTGATAAAATTTTGTAGTTTCTGAAATTCTTTTATTTTCATTAGTCTAATATAATTCAAATAAGTTATATCTGATACTGAATGAGAAAATTTATTTTAGTGGTACAAGTAATGTTTTTTTTTCTAGTTTTTAACTATTTGTAGCTTCATTACCCATTTTTGCAAGAGATGTTTCCTACAGGTGGTGTATTACAATAGATGTTATCAAACAGTAGCAATTTTTAGGTTTTCCTTTTTTCTTTCCTGAGATTCTAAGAAAAGTTAAATTTTGGGTGATCTTTATGTTAATAAAAGATTTGAAAGCTTTTGGATGAGGGAAGATGATATATAACTGGTCTACTTTTTCAAATTGCACATTGATAATTTGTTTATTTCTTCTGTATACAGGGATTTCTTTAAAGAATCAATGTGAACGTTTTTTATATCAAATCACACTTTCTTCCCAGGAGGAATCTCATATTTAAATCTGTAATTTTTCATGTACCAAATGTAACATTACACAGAATCAGGCAACACAGTAACATCTTTAAACAACAAGGCCCAGCATGGTCAGGTGGTTAGGGTGCTGGATTGCAATTTGAGGGTCACAGGTTCGAATCCCCATCCCACCAAACATGCTCACCCTTTCAGCCATGGGAGCATTATAAAGTTATGGTCAATTCCACTATTCGTTGGTAAAAGAGTAGCCCAAGAGTTGGTGGTGGGTGGTGATGACTAGCTGCCTTCCCTCTAGTCTTTCACTGCTAAATTAGGGATGGCTAGCAGATAGACTTCATGTAGCTTTGCGCGAAATTAAAAAAAACTGTAAACAATGGGAAATAATTGTGTTTCATGCAAAGTTGCATGATGACAATCTCACTCGAGTACTTATCTACCCTCCAACCCTCACAAAGTTCTTTAGTAGTCTATTATCATGTGAAAGCAGATGTGAATGATTTAAAAATAAAGCTATAAATTAACATTTTTTATTATAAACTTTCAAGAAAATAACTGTTATAGGACATCTATTTTATATTCTCAGTGTGTAAGAAAAGCACTTATTAGATAGTATACTACAGCCAAAATACAATAATTAGACAGTATACTAAAACTAAAAGACAGTAATTAAACAATACATCCACCTTAAAACATGAAGTTCCTACACAACACACCAAACTTGCAAAAACGTTACTACACATCAAACCAACCTTAAAGAGTAGTTACTACACATCAAACCAACTTTAAAGAGTAGTTACTACAAGTACACCAAGCTTGCAAAGCATTTACTACACATCAAACCAACCTTAGAAGATAGTTACTACACAGTGAACTAAGCTTGCAAAACAGTTACTACACATCAAACCAACTTTAAAGAGTAGTTACTACAAGTACACCAAGCTTGCAAAGCATTTACTACACATCAAACCAACCTTAGAAGATAGTTACTACACAGTGAACTAAGCTTGCAA